AGTAATACTTACCCACTAAATCAAAGGAAAAAACTAACCGAAACTACTGTGTATGCCACATTTAGTGTGTATGAAAAAAAAGAGCTTTGAATGCCCATAACCATCTTTGTCAACGTAATTTATATTGAAATATATTTCAGATGGTTGTATAAATTAACCGACATGTTGTTCTTACTATAGTTTCCATTTCAACAGTACACTTTTCTATATCACACTTTGGTTTAATTGATTCATACATTTTCATCATTGTGAATAAACTTGTTCAATGTTACAATTTCTTAAACTGACATTTAAACATACCCATACCTACACACATAAACATACATATACATAAATTTAGAGATGGCGATGCAGGTATTCATGTATAACTCTGGAATGTGAGTGCATTTTTTTTCTACATTAAAGTTTAATGATGAGTCAAACTCTTTATTGTTTATACAAAAAAAAACCGTTTTACCTTTATCAACTTATGAATACCTTTCTTTTAAAAATAGATTTTACATCCTGATAAATTTAATTACATCATTTATACGTCAGTTTACTTACGTACTCATTTAAGCCTGTTACTCCTTGTGAAGGAGCATAGGCCGCTCACCAGCATTCTCCATACAACCCTGTCCTGGACAATCATTTCAGGCTCTTTCCAGTTTTTATTCATCCTTTTCATATCTGCTTCTATTTACCGATTTAATGTGTTCTACGGCCTTCTACTTTTCCACTTCTCATCAGGATTCCAAGTTAGGGATTGCCTCGTGAGGCAGTTTGATGATTTGCGTAATGTATGTCCTATCCATTCCCATTGTCTTTTTCTAATTTCCTCTTCAACTGGAATCTGGTTTGTTCTCTCCCACAGAAGGCTGTTGCTGATGGTATCCGGCCGATGGATGTTGAGTATCTTGTGTAGACAACTATTTATAAATACTTGTACATTCTTGATGATGGTTGTAGTAGTTCTCCAAGTTTCAGCTGCGTACAGTAGTTATTCATCAGTAACCTTATACAAATGTTATCTTGGTTTATTTATATTTACTGCTGATCACTTTTATTATTATTGATCTCTTTTTGTTATTTTACCGTTTAAATAGATTAAATTTGTGTATACATAGATTGATCCTAAAGTAGTAACTAATATCGTAATTTCCTAGTCTTTTGAGATGGTGTAGAAGATGTGTAAATCAGGTGGAGTTTTGTTCTCTAAGTTGGATGGTTTGGTCATGTAGCTTTCATTGTTCTTCTGAACGATACCATCAGTACAAACTTCAGGTAGAAGTAAACTTGAGTTATTTAAATTGGGGTATATATGCTGTAAAATGAAAACTTTTCGGTCAAGAATATTTATCAGTTTCTGCAGGTCACAACAAAAATGTTTTTGGAACATTGAGGTTTTATTTTTCATGATTGTGATAAGTATGTACGAACTACTTACCAGTGATTTTTATTGAATTAAGTCTGATAGAACGAGGTCTGCTAAAAGTGTACTTTAAGGACAAAACGATTAGAATCAAGAACGCAATCATTAGGTTTTTGCAGAAAACTCAAATGTCATATACAACGAGCAGTATACCTTCGCATACTGTTCAAAACGTTCAAAATAATAGTAGAAATTTACATTTTGTCATTACACAGTAAAAATGACAGTGTCCAACGTATGAAACACCTAACGCTGTCTCCATAGATTGCATATAACTGGTAAATTGTCTCTGTTCACAAATCTGTAACCTAAATCCTTAATTCTGAAAATAATTTAACCTGATGAAACCATATTTTATGAACGAACCAAACTGATAGTGCCTCGTGTGTTTCTGGACGAAATCCATTCATCCATAGAGTATTTTTACATCGTAGTCGATGTCAATTCGTGATTAATATTTCAACCCTAAACACTTACTCTTTAGTCTAAATACTTAACCCTTGTTAGGAACAATATAAGGACACTTCAAGATTGATTTAGGTTCTTATAAATATTAGAAAGGTTAGATGTTCTATATCCGTAAAGGAGAGTTTCTGTTTAATTCTTTTTTCAATTTACTGACTGAGAAACCTGTCGAAGATATTATTAGATTTATTAATTACATAGAAATCAGTCCACACCTTGCAACATTATTGATTCCTTTTTTATAAATCATCCATTTACAAAAAACTGTTTTTTGATTGGTTGGAAATTCATCGTGGTCATTTTAAGCTCGTTCCCAAAATATACTTTTACTGGAAATTTTATGCAGCATATTCGATAAATATTCCGAAATAATATCATTAAAATTGTATTTTACAAATTTTGGATACACATCAATCTCAATGTTTCAATCATACTCTTATTTGTATGTATGGAAACTTATCTTGTGGTGTGTGCTACTGATGTCTATAGATATAAGTAGTATGTATCATCAATCGAAAGTGAAATGTCTGGAGGCAGAAGGTTAAGAAGATAGAAGAAAAGAAAACGAGAACAAATAGTGATTGGTGTGGGAACGAAAGAACAATGAATTGTGAGACGATTGACTCATATTTTCAAAAGACAATTGATGAACATTGTGCAAATGAAGAATTTACTGTATGATTCACAGATTTTACTAAGAGATTCTGTAATTTTGTGTTCATTTACATTCGACTGTCTCCACTTGTTTTGTCGTTCACTAAAATCTTATCTTTCTCTCAATTATTCAAATATTTCTCAAAGTCTTCAGCTATCTAGTTGTTTTCTTCTCACATGTTTTTTAGATGTTGGCAAATTCAAAGCATATTCACAAATAATTTCCTCTAATTTAGTAAATCGATTTATGTACTAACTGAACAGTTCATGTAATACTTATTTATTAATTCCATAGATTTAGTTCTAGAAAAATGTTGTAGAACAATTGTAATGAGTAAAGTAGTAACTTTTATTTATTTTAGTAGGTGAGATCATTGAAGCTAGACCACCATAGAAAACCTGGAATCACTTGACAGTCGTTTCGTGCTATTGCGAGACTCCTCAGAAGTGCGCATCCACTATTGATTTATCTTCTTATCTTAACTGAGCACATTTACCATTATTGGAAAACTGACTAAACATACATATTTATGGTTTTTGACAATTTACTACTGCTTTTTCAACATCACAATTTCACGTACATTGGTCAATGTTTGATAGAAAAAAAACTACATGAACTTAGGTCACTTGATATTGTTTTATTTGAATCCTCCCAATTATGATTAGGACCGCAATTGATCAGTCACTTATTGAAATATGCGTATACTGTGCGTATTGCCTCGATATTACCTTAATCCACAAGCATTATAAACAAATATGGATAGTGGGTAGCATTGAAATCCAGGACGCACGTTTCGTCCTATTTAGGACTCGTAAAATGGATGTACCTGCATCTTAGTGTTGATATTCACTCTGGGACTCGAACCCAGTACCATTCGCTTACACTGTTAGCCACTTTCCATCTTTGCTTATAACAGTAAAATTAGATTATAAAAACTTATTAATACTAACATTGAAAAAGTTGGTAATAAATTCATATTTATAGGTAAAAATGTATCTCAGTCAGTCAGTCAGTAACAACGTAGAACTTCGTACGTACGTACGTACGTACATCAGTTCGAGTTGCCAAACCACATTAGCACAGAGATGCAGTGGTCGATTCAAATCCCGTAGTGGTAGAGGTAATAAGAGTATAAGCAGTAATCAGAAAGATTAGGTTTTGAAGATGTTATTTAAAGAGTATAATACAGTGAAATAAATTTGGAAAGAGAAAAAAAAGACAAGGAGGAATAATGAGATCAAAATTTGGGAGAACACAAAGAGTGTATGCACCTGCGCCATTACAAACGATTTTGAACCATGTCATTCAGGGTCTCTATCCATCGGTTGCTATCATCTCGCAGTCCCCAACCAGGTAGTCTACACCCTCCAATATGACTCAATTCACTTGTCAGTGATTTCATGGACTTTTGCCATGTATGTAGAATACTCGAAAGACTTTTCTATTATTCTAATCTTATATATAATGTAATGGTAATTTTTAACATTATTTTAGAGTAAATATGATCGGATATAAATGATAGGATAAGGTGAATCGATTTGGCACAGATCTTCGCATACACCAGTTTCATTGAGATGTTTGCATTATATATGTATATATATATATTGTATAAAATATGTGAATTATATGTATTTCTTTTATTTCAATAAACATATTGTCTTTCCTTATTTTATGCATTTATGTATGTATGCAAGTGTACATATATATACCATTTAGTGTGAATTTATGTTCATAGGCTTTGTGCACAATTCTGTCTCTCTCTCTCTCTCTCTCTCTACTTCGTGCTCTTTACAATCCAATTCACGAATCTTATACTTATTTAATGAGTATCAAATTTTAAGTTTATTTGATGTAATTTGTTTGTGTTGTGTACACCTTCCTATCATAGTGTTTACGTCATTCAATATCCAGTATAGTTCGCATATATAGATATACACACTATAGCTTTTTAGTAAGCAACTGGATCGATTTGAGACAGTATTTATGTCAGTTACAAATTATTTATATGATGAATAGAAATACCATAACAAACTGACAAAGAAATGTGAAGTGAATAATATGAGAATAAGAGATAGAGAAGACGAATTATTGAAGTTCAACTTTTTATATTATATTGTATAGATCGCCTACGCAAATAATTTAAAATTTGGACTATGCACTCATTTTAGTGAAGTCTAATATACATTTACCCTATACTTTATAAGACTAAGCTATTTTTCTTATTTGACGGGTATTGTGTGAGTGGTAAAATAAATGAAAGTATGTATGTATCTATGTTTATGTGTATAATATATTTTGGTGAGAGTACATAAACATACACGTGTGTACTCTCTCTCACTCTCTCACTAACTCTTTCAATCGACAATACAAACAGAAGCTTTGTATTGATGCGATTTGTGGATTTTTATGCACAGACACATTCCTTCAATGGATCACTAAATTAAATAGCACAATCCAACTATTCAATATACAATTAGACTGATTTTTTTTTATAAAAAGGCATAATAATATACAATTTAAATCAGAACTTTGATGGTGTTTACTCATTGTGTAGCTAATACATTCAAATGGCGGTTAGCAGAGATTAACTAGGAAGGAGAAGTGAATATTATTATTATTATTGTTATTACTACTATTATCATTTTTCATAAACATCATTCCAATTTTCGATTCGATCCAGTTCGGAAATATAATAATAATAATATTATCATTATTATTCTTTATCAAGTTGACAATCTCTGCGATTTTCATTCAACTCATCTACTAATTCAATAATTACATCTTTTCTATTCTAACACTGCCTATGTGTATATGTGACCGTCTTCCACTGGCTAACTGTCTACTGTCGGAATATTTACTACATATACAATATTGAATTCTAGTAGATATCTTTCTACTAGAAATATTCGTGTTTTCTTTTTTCCAAGTACATCTTTTTAAAAGTTCCTCTTACATGTTAACCATTTGTTCTGTCTTCCTTTGATATTTTTTTTCTTTTACCGATCATTATTTCGTGTTTTTTCTATTTCTTCTTTAAGAAGAAAACAAATTTCATCCATTCAATATTGGTTAACAAAGGAAGGAAACAATAAGATAGATTATGATAAATATCAACTATTTACAATTGAATCTTATTCGAATGACAATATTCAACAATCAACATTGTAATATTATTTACATATAAATTAGAAAATATTTATTTGCATCTAGTTTTTGTTTTTGTGTGTGTTTGTTTCTTACCTCTTTCTCTTATTCAATTATTATATATATTTATTGATACAAGAATATAACTAATTCTCGTCCTGGGATTACTGTTAGTTACGCTGATACTATACATCAACTTTGACAATAATATTCGTATACGCTACAATCAATCAATCAATCAATCAATCAATCGATCAAGTTAGAATTACGCTCCAGTTTTTTTTTAAAAATTTTTCTTTGTCAATTGAATCATTCCTCTGTTCAATATTCAATAGTTAACTAATAATATACTTGGAAATAAATGGGTAAGTTGAGAGAATCAGTTTACCTTTCTTTTTTAAATGAAGTCATGTTTCCCTATTGAACATGATTTAATTTTCAATGTATTAAATAGATTGTTGTTGTGTTTTTTTTGTAAAACTTTAAATCGAAAATTTAAGATAATGTAAATTATTGAAAAGAATTATGAAGGAATGTTCAGAGAAAAGGGACCATAACAGAACTAATAATTGTTTGTTTAAATTAAAAGAATATAGAATAGTTGTTTTATTATTGAACAATTCATAATCTTGTATAGAATTACTTTTGCATAGATATATGATTAACTTGATAGATTACAATATAATGGTTATGGGTAAAATTTCCCTAAGTACAATCATTAATTCATTAAAAGTGTATATTTTACTGAATACATTAAAACATCGAACCGTAACCCATATCATTAGTCATTTAAAATAAATCTATGAGTGAACACTTAGTTGTTATTTGAGTTTGAGATCACACATACTGTGAAACAACTCAGGATTATGTAGTAAATTTTATTCATACGACTTATAATAGAATCGTTATTTATATTATAAGACAAATATAAAACTATTGATCAGATAACGAAATTTTCTCATATAAGAAAAACAATGTTCACGTGATTTGTGATGAATTTCTTTCAGTTATTCGTCTTTTACTACTGGTATTACTACTATTATTTATTATTATCATCAGTAGTATTTTTATTACCGATAAATAATGATTTTACATAAAGCGTTAAATAAATACATTTCTGAAATCAAAGAAATATCAACTAAACGTTAAAGACTTTTTAAATGTGTAAGTAGCAAAAGTGAGACTAAAATATATGGACGACCTTTGAGCGACGCTAAAGTCACCTTGAGAACGGATACCTACTAATTAAGACAAAATGAGAGCTATAAACCAGTTAGAATTATGATTTACGTTTGATGGTTAAGGTTAAAAATTAGATTTAGGGTTTTCGTTACGAACTGACATCAGCTATAATGCCAAAACTTTATTTAGCCAAATGGATGAATGAATTTCGCGCTATAATTTATTACTCGATATCTTATATCTGATTGGTTTGTCCATAAATTATGGTCCCGCCGCAGCAAAATAATAACCTTTTTTGTTCAATGATCAATTCTGTGTCAATTCGTTCACTGGTGAGATTGATGCTTGTTGACGAGGTATTTTAATGTATGAAACTCGTTGAAATACACATTTAGTATGAATATATAGTTCTGGATGTACTACTTATCGAAACTTATCAGTTACACATTAATATTTGAATCGATGAAATTGATTGATAATCGTTTTAACAGTGTGGGACAGTAGGTCTCGAAGAAAACTACTCACCATGTTGAATAAAAGTTAATTAATTCATCTTTAGGAAAGTTATCATTTACAAAATCATTTTTATTCCTATAGTAATTATTATCACAAATTAAACAATGGAATTTTATCACTTAGATAATGAATGGTGGACATGTATATTTGTTTACATATGTATTGATCAATGTTATTACATAGAAGAAACATAGGCAGATAAATGAAAGAAAACTATTAATTTAAGTCGAGGAGTAAATATATGTATATATAGACTTGAAACAACTAGGAAACTCATAACAACAAAGGAAACTGTTTTACATTAGATTTTTGGTTGTTTAATGAGTTTTCAAATCATTTGTTATTATTAATTTATGGCAGTTATGTTAACTGAAAAAAAGAAAAAAACCTCATCCAGAGTATACATAACCAGCTGATGAGTCCCAAATAGGACGAAACGCACGTCTTGGATTCCATTGCTAGTCACTATCCATCTTTACTTACATTGTGAATTTCATTCTATTGATTAACATTATTAATTTATACCACAACTTTTTCATGATAAAATGAAAAATCTCAAAGAAATCAATCAATAATATTTTATGCAACGGTGAAAACATTGTTTGAAGATTGTTTTTATTCAATGAATTGTATTTTCATGATTTTTTTTTATTTATCCAAATTCATGTAGCTACTGAAAGTCTTCAAGCTCGATTGACTGAATTCGAGGTAAGCATAAACGCTAACCTTATTTGTTTTTTGTAATGTTACATCTAAATTACCAATCATTAACCAATCGTTAATAACAAGTATATTTTTTGTGATATCTCAGTGTAAGTAGAAAAGTTGTATTTCTAACATTTCGTCAGTCAATGTAACCTACTTCTTCGTCTTTTTCTTCTTCTCCACTCTGAAGAAGTGGCTTGTATTAACTGACGAAACGTGAGAATTATAATATTCTACTAATTGGGATATCATAAAAAATAATATATTTATTATTAAATTCTCTAAACAATGCCCAACTGATTTGAAACTATCAAGTTTAACCAAATGTGTTTTGTATAACTGTAGTAACAATAAAAAGATACAGTGATTAGTTAAAGTTAATATATAAATTTAATGGTAGTAACATAAGTTGAAATTTTATGGAAAAATACAATTTGATTTGATGCATTCAGTTTTTAGAACTTAAATAATAAGATATGCTCACTGTAATGTAGATATACAGCTGAAATAGTAATTATATAAATATACAAATACCTTATCAAGGACCACATATTTGTAATGAATTCAATGTATAGAATTATTATTATTTTAACACATAGGTATTGGTACAAGGAGGCACCAAATACATAAGCTCCACACACATCTCATTCGATATGTGTGAGAGCTGTGATACTGCCCGGGTGCCTAAACCGAAGCAGGTGGTTTTCTTAAAGTGCCACACCCCGAGCCTTCGATCTAGAGGTCTGATCCACAAGGCAGTGGAGCATCGTAAGGAGATGCAGTCCCATGGTAGCCGGTGACCAACGATTGGTTCATATGCCATTTGTTCCCGCAGGATACTGGAGCCCATGTGCACCATTGATTTTGTTTGGAATCCGGTTAAAGCGCCGGACATTCACTTTTCGATCTCTCATTTTCGTAAACAACACCCCCGCCACGAGAGTATAGAATGCTCTCTTAATTATGTTCAATCTAAGTTTAAATATAGTGTCACATTTTCGGAATAAAAAATAATTCACTTAAACAATTAAAATGTAGTAATAAACTACTATGGTACTTTTTTATTGTTCTTGGAGTAACACAAATGTTAATAAACAGAACTATTGAAATTCTTCTACTATTTAAACTGTGGCAAATGATTTATAAGCAAAGGTGGGTAGTGGCTAGTAGTGGAATTCGTCCTATTCGGGACTCATTTACTTATAAATCTTGTGACTTAGTACAATATCGGGTCATTCCGCACAGGATGTATATATGCCAACAAGAGACTGATCAATTGCAGTCATAAACAACAATGGGAAGATACAAGTAAAAAATACCAAGTGAATGTGGCAAATGATGTTAATGAATTGATTGTAATAGATCCATGAGGGAAAAAAAATACCCGATATACTTATGAACTAGATTATGTATTATCAATTTACATCATTGATGAGTAACAAAATTATTTGTAGAAAAAACCTATAATCTGTGATACTTTAAAATTAGTATGTAAATAGTCTATTAAAGTACATCTTACTTCATTTTGACTGCATTCATCTATTTCATAAATCGAAGAACAATTAAGACAAAGAGATAGCTTAGTATAAAAGTTTCTCAGATCGAGTCAAAGGTATTGATTGCTGTGGCTCAACTGAAGGTATATATATATATATATATATATATATATATATATATATATATATATATATATATATATATATATATATATGTGGAATTAGTAAGTAGAATAAATTGCATAATCGAAGTTGTGTTATTTCACTTTATACCTGGTTACATCATTATAAATTTGACATAACAACACATCATAATCTTATTTGTATAAATTTTTATTTTTATTTGAATCTAAAGATAACGGGTTCAAGTCTCAGTGTAAACATCAACACTGAGATGTGCCAGTTACCTCCGGTTGATAAGTCCCAAATAGGATGAGACTCATGTCTTACATTCCATCATTAATCACTACTCAAAAATAATAAAATATTATAATTTATTTTAAATATATGAAAATAATACGCTTAGACACGCAACACACATATATAATCGCTTATTTTGTTTCTTATTCATTCTTTGTTGATCTTCTTCTTCTTAGCGTCAAGCTCGTGGTGTATGCATAGGTGTAAATCATTTAGCACTTGACAGTGAACGTGTTAGACAAGCTGAATTATTACAAAAAATTATACAACTAGAAAAAGATATTCAACAATCTGTAAGTTAATAAAATGTAACATTTATAAAGATTATTCATGTTAATGAAAGATTAACAGATTAGGGAATAATACTAACTGTATATAAGTATTGGAAAATATAAAGATAACTGGACAGATAAATTGTCCTATTATAAGAACCTTACTAATCACTGGGTGTCAACTCAATTATTTGAATGTCCAAGATTCGATTCTTTGTGAGGTCGTATAATGTGTACATTGATAAGAAGCCATTTACTAGAAATATATAGATGTCCAATGCTATATGCTTTTACAACGGTTGTCTAACTAAAATTCTTACGTAATGTAAATTGTTTTCAAATGTAGTTTTGTTTTTTGTCACTGTCCGCATTAACCAATTTATTCATTGAATTGATTATTACTTTTTTAGAGTGCACAAAAATCACATTTACCTGACGCAGCAGCTGAGATTCGTGTAAGCACTACACTGTTTTTTTCCTGATATTTATGTTAATCTTTGTAAAGTTTAAGATAATTAAAACATGTTTGTAAGAAGATAATACTGATTAGACAAATTAACCAATATTACAAATACTGGGTTTATTGTGAAATGAAGTTTACATACCTCAGATTGTCACAAAAAATTGAAATATGTTTTTGTTCACAATGATTTATACTTGTCCATTGTTGAGATTGAGTAATGAATTCAATCAGTTTCTCATTGGTATGTAAGCTTCATAAACAGATACATCAATATATTAGCCGTGATTACAAGATTAGTCTTTTTTCAAATGAAATCCACAAAGTATATATCATCTTACATATGGGTCTCACTAACTAGATGTACGCACCTGAATCTTAATGTCTATCAAGCTTAGTTCAGTATCAAATAAAACGAAACAAACATTCTGAACTTTACTATTACTTACTTACGCCTGTTACCCCTCGTAGAATATCACAGGCCGTTCACCAAAATTCTTCATTCAACTCCATCCTCAACAATCCTTTCCAATTCTTCATAGTTGCTATTCATCTTTGTCATGTCTGATTCCGATTCCCGATGCAGTATGTTCTTTGGTCTTCCGCTTTTCTTTTTTCCCTCACGATTTCAAGTTAGTGCGCGCTTCGTGATGCAGTTTTATGATTTCCGTAATATGTGTCTTATTCACTTTCAACCTCTTTTCCTAATTTCCTCTTTAGCTGAAAGTTGACTTGTTCTCTCCTACAGTAGGTTGTTATTGATGATATCCGGTCAACAGACATTAAGTATTTTGCATAGACAATGGCTTATAAATAATTGTACCATTTTGATAATGGTTGTGATAGTTCTCTAAGTTTCAGCTCCATGCAGTAGAACTGTTCAGAAGTTTGTACTTAAGATTCTGACTGTGATATTGACTGACAGTTTTTTAAGTTTCCATATGTTCTTCAGCTATAAGAGCCCCACTCGTAGAAAATAACCTTCCTGAAAAAAAACTCTAATCATACTACAGGTCATTACCATAACTACTAAAATATATTTATTGCATAAGCTAGTGGCTATCTGAACTCAGTAGCTAAGTGAATAACTTGATGGTATTTGAAGCGAACAGTACTTGACTTGAGTCATGGAGTGAAAATCAACTCTAGGATGCAGGTATGTCCAGTTGACAAGTCTCAAATACGACATAATATGCATCCTGGATTCTACTGCTAGTCACAATCCATCTCTGTTTAAAATAAAATAGTTGTTGAAATTCAATTAATCACTAAGCCATATATTTTGTTCTTATCTCCTAATAATAAAGTTTTTTTATATTTCTTTTTTTTTAATATTTTAAGGATGATGTGAAAAATAATACATCAGCATTACGTTATTTAGAAACAATATCACAATTGGAGAATTCATTTACAGTAAGTTATAAATAAATATCATCATTTAATCAATAATTTTTATTTAGGTTCTAACAGAAAATGTCACTGAAACCTCTGTACAATTAAGTGCTCCTAAAGAATTAAAAGATGAAGTTCATGTGAAAAAAGTTAGTTTCCCCCTTTTTTTTCCCCTTCCCCCCTTTTTCCCCCTTAAAAAAATCAATTCTAAAGTAAAGATTTCAGTTAACATGACAATGAAATATTCGCCATTGATTTTTGTTTTTTATTTTAAACAAAATTTAATTTAAATAAAAAATAAAGATCATGTAGTTAATTTATTGTGTATATCATCACTATTATTACTATAATAAAAGTAGTTTTTGGCAAGTGTTACTTACTTACTTATGCCTGTTACTTCTCGTGAAGGAGCATAGGCCGCTCATCAGTATTCTTTATCCAACCCTGTCCTGGGCAATCCTTTCCAGCTCTCTCCAGTTTTTATTCATCCTTTTCATATCTGCTTCTATTTCCTAAATTAATGTGTTCTACGGTCTTCCTGTTTCCCGCTTCCCTTCATGATTCCAAGTAAGGGATTGCCTCGTGATGTATGTCTTATTTATTTCCATTATCTTTTCCTAATTTCCTCTTCAGCTGGCAAGTCACATGGCTTTAAATGATTTTCGAAAATAATGTCAGCATTATAATGTTGATTATATTTCTAGAAGAAAAGGTTCATGAAAAATTAATCATAAGTTATTTATTCTGATATTAATAACTAGTATAATGCTATAATTGTGTACTTGTCAGAATAACGTTTAAGTACTAATAATGAATAAGTTTAACACTTGAACTTAATTTGATAAATTATGTAAGAATAAAAAGGTAAACTATAATTTACATCATTATAATTTCAATCAATAATTCAACTCTAGTTATCAAGTACAAATATGTGTACTTGGATTTGAATGACACTTTAGGAGTAAGAGATTTGATGACATAATCCAAATATCAAAATTGAAATAGTTTGTTCAAGGTTGAGGTTGAAATTTAAATTAAGCACTCACTGATGATTCTCAAAGAAGTTGTAACCAATGGAGTTCAGCCACGTCAGATATGAGGTAGTTAGACACCAATGACATTGAATAATGTCTGGGGAATATTGCAGATTGTTTAAAGTTTAAAATGTAAACAGTTGGTTACCAACTCGATAACCTAAAATCTAAAGGCACCTTAAGAGAACTAAAAGTCCTAAACTTAACCTTTGTTGGTAGGATTATGGATGTACACTGTTAAGTAGGCCAATAATAGGACGAAATTTTTATCCAGTGATTCTTGATTTTCTCTAGTCATCCCACAATATAGACTACATGGTTAAATGATCTTCAAAAACTTTTTATACTGAACATTTAAATGGTTGCAAATTTTTAATAAAATCATGTAAATTCATTTGTTCAAAATGTTTCACTTCATTAATTGACGTTCTCATATGTATCTATGCAATACTAAAACCATTAAACTGAATTAAAATTCTATTTACATTTGATAGTACCAAGTTGAATTAATGAACTTGATTTATTTACTTTGAAAAAATTATTAAATAATCTTTAAACTTACGGAACAGAATCTACCAATAATTCTTTATTGTAAAACTCTTTTCTAAGTTGAACATTGAACTTTAGTTGGCAGAACAATAAGCTAATTTTAGTTAATTATTTCTGTAGTACTCGTTTTTATTAATTCATTATATATGAGGAACCTTTATTTTACTACTGTTAACGCTAAGGACTTCAGCTGATCAACCGCTTCATCGTATATGTTCATACTGAGCTTCGATATTGAAATACATCCATATCCATAAAAATTTGGATAGTAGCTTGTAGCGGAATCCAAAACACATGTTTCATTCTATTTAGGTATTTACCCACAATGAAGCCAATGGAGTATATGAGAAAAATGAGCAGCAAAAAACTCACTGCTATTCATTTCAATTCAGGGAGGTGGGAGTGTAAATCATTTACATTTTCTTTACAATTAATTACAGGCATAAACGTTTTAAAGTGCGTCATAATATGCGTATCTATACTGAATAACAAAACAAAGTGTAAATAATTGATTAGACATTTTGTTAATCTAAATCACGTTTTACCAGACACTTCCTGTTTTATTAGAGGGAAAATACACAAGGTTTATATTGTAATACAAATCAAGATTCTCTTATTTCATGAAACAGTAGAACTGGTTTTAATGGCGGAAGTAACATTGTTAATTTTAATAGTGGACGCTTAGTATACAGTTAATCATAATTGTCTCATATTTTCGTTATAACCAAAGGGCATTTCATATAAAATCATTAACTGATAGCAAAGACACTGTTGTTTAAGATCATCTGAATCGATTATACAGGAGAGATGTTTGTTAGTCTATTAAAGGGCAAGTATACTATCCATGTGTTCTCTCGAGATTGGTTTATAACTGTGAAACATTGCCTTCAAGTTGGATAATATGCGTAGGCTGAAAGTATTTGATAAGTTTTGAAAGCATTACTCGTGTATGATGCAATTAGTGAGTGAGTAGTTTTGAAGCTATTCATGAGCATTTTTTGGTCAAAATAATTATATATATGTAATTATTTGTTGTAAATTTTCACAGAGTAGGGTTATTGAGTTACACAAACCCATGCACTGTCCAGCACTGGCTAGAATACATGTACTTTGTAAGAAGGCTCTGGATACTCAGACCGATAAATGGTATAGGCTTATTGATTTAGTATTGATCAATATTATCTTCGTCTAATCCTTTAATGGTGGCTGAATTCTATCGATCAAGTTGTAATATAACCATTAGTCTAGATAACTCTATATCATGTACACTATTTTGATCGTTGGAGGTAGCCGCTGGTCCAGCATTAGTTCATGAAATCAGTGAGTATTTATTTGACCCATAAAGAAAAGTATAAAGTTTCTGTTCGTTATCAGTGAGATAATTATCATCTATGGTTGACTGATCTGTTTGAATGATATTGATGTATGCAGTCTCTATTGTCTTCTAGGTCTTGAGTTTTCGTAATTTTTTGTTTCCGATCTACATTTCGTAGGTTTAATTCCTTACAATCATTCATATAATTACAGTTTCTCCGATTTTAATTTAGTTAGTTTTTGTACGTTAAGTATGGCTAGTTAGACAACTGGATATATACATGCCAGGCCATAAGCTGTATGCGACTTACTAACTGAATTGATATGTGGAATGTGAATTTATTCTTGAATTAGATCAAAGATATACGTGGATTAAAAGTCAAAGGATGAAATCATGCAGATATTCTTTAATGTAATCTGTTAGAGTTATCATGAAAGGTTTATGAAGATTGTTGAGTTTGAAAATTTACATTACGGACTGATTTTAGCTCCACAACTATCTAAATCCAAAGAGATACTGGATAAATGCTGTATCTCTGTATGGAACTGCCCAATAGTATTCATCCCCATCAGGAGTCGAACGCAGGACACCTTTGAACCGCTAAATCACAATCCAATAATTGATATTTCTAACATCGATCAATTCGCGATATTGGTCTACCATATTTCACTGCCATTTATGTCTGATTATTTCATACTCATCATAGTTCAACCTTTAAATTAATTTGACAAATTCAATTCATTGACTAAATTTTCCGTTGATTTTTTTCTTCACATGAATTAAACAGGAATTAACTAGTAATGTGAAAAGTTGTTGGACATATGTTTCTCAATTGGCCCGATTAAGTCAAGTACACATTAGGAATGCTGCTGAATATCATCAGGTAAGTAAACATAAAATTGTAAGAAGAATGTTTACTTTTGTAAAGAAAATAATAAAACGAAGAATTCGTAGTTATATCATGTTAATAAGTAACTTTGATAGACGATTTATTTAATCCTTTAACCTTAAGGTATTTATTACACATTTATTCAATGATTAATTTTACACAGGAGTAAGCAGCTCAGAGTTATATAATAAGTATCAAAAATCGATCTGTATAAATCAATCGATACATTATATTTTACTTAAGTAACAATGAACTTTAATGTACCTGTTAACGATTTTCACTATTAACTATCAAATTTTCTATTTTCTGAAAAAAATTTCATTCAAAATGTTTCCTATGGAAATTTACTCACTTACGCCAGTTACCCCTCGTAGAGAAACATAAGCCATTCTTCATCCAACTCCATCCTCAACAATCCTTTCCCAATCTTTACAGTTGCTATTCATCCTTGTCATGTCTGATTCCGATTCCCGATGCAGTGTATTCTTTGGTCTTCCGCTTTTCTTTTTTCCCTCATGATTCCAAGTTAGTGCGCGCTTCGTGATGCAGTTTTATGATTTCCGTAATATGTGTCTTATTCACTTTCAACGTCTTTTCCTAATTTCCTCTTTAGCTGAAAGTTGATTTGTTCTCTCCCATAGTAGGTTGTTGTTGATAATCTCCAGTTAATGGCCAATGGAAATTAGTTGAAATTAGACATTAACACCATTGGATAATGGCTCAGTGGTCTAGTTGGTTAAGCGCCTGGCGCGAGACCGATAAGTCCTGAGTTCGGATCCCGCGTGGAGGGGTCATGTATATGCATTGCTGAGGAGTCCCACAATAGGACGAAATGGCCGTTGAGTGCTTCCAGGTTTTTCATGGTGGTCTAGCTTTAATTGAATCATGGTAACAACTGTTGAAATTACTACAACCTCCACAAAACCCCCTCAGATACATACCGTTAAAATTCCTAAGTTAATTGGAAATAATACTGAGATAAATGAATAATAACTAATTTTGAGCATATGATACATAGTGTCATTTATTAATATTACCAATTATTTGCACTAAATAATTCAATAATAATAACAATTATAACTGTTGACACTTTTATTCAACTGATTAATAATAGAGAATATTATCAATGATATCACGCATTTTTATTTTGAGTATAATTATCTTGTATATTGATAGATAACATAATTTAGGACATTGTACTAGTAACTCATTCTGTACATTCTCTCTCTTTCTCTCTCTCTCTCTCTTTCCTACAATTAATCATACTTCAAAAAGTATACAATCACAAATTACCTCCAATTTAATGGATAATAATAATAAATCAATTAATTAATGATTAGTATTGTTAATATTCGTAATAGAATAATGAAACAACTCTGATCAGTCGATTCAGTTGTACAGGTTTAAGTCAACTATAAAGTATATGTTGTTTATCTATTGTTTGTTATTATCATTATTATCTTTGCGCATAAGTATAGAAAAACAAACAATAAAATTTAATATTTCTTGGTGTATATTCTATTGTTTTGTTTAATTGATTGTTAAAACTAGTATACCAGGTCATATTTATATATACTGGTCAGTTGTGTTTTATCGATAAAATCAGTTTCTGTTTATCGATTAGCTCAGGTTTATTTATTTATTTATTTAGAACTATATTTGAATTTAGAATAAGGAACAATATTTATTCAAAGATATAGGTTACAATATAATTGATTGAAATCTAAGGTAATGGATTAAAATGAATATTATAATTAGAGTTTAAGTAATTGGTAATATCACAGATTGAAATCATGAGTCAATTGAAGCTAGATCACCATGGAAAACCTGTGAGCACTGGACGGCCGTTTCGTCTCATTGCAGGACTCCTCAGCAGTGCGCATCCACGATCCCACACTCCGCGAGATTCGAACCCAGAACCTATCAGTTTCGAAACGGGTTCAAATCTCGCGAGGTGGGATCGTGGATGCGCACTGCTGAGGAGTCCTGCAATGAGACGAAACGGCCGTCCAGTGCTCACAGGTTTTCCATGGTGGTCTAGCTTTAATTGACTCATGATTGCTGTTCTCCGCTTTGAATTTGAGGACCTTGGTTTTCCCTTTGTTTATGCTGAGGCCTACTGATGCAGAGACTGCTGCTACATTGGCTGTCTTTGTCTGCATCTGTTCGTGTGTATGTGATAGGAGGGCTAGGTCATCTGTGAAGTCCAAATCGTCTAATTGATTTTGAGCTGTCCATTGTATTCCGTGTTTTCCTTCAGATGTCGAAGTCCTTATAATCCAGTCGACCACCAGAAAAAAATGGAAGGGAGAGAGTGAACAGCCTTGTCTGACTCCGGTCCTTACTTGGAATGCATCTGTCCGCTGTCCTCCATGCATGACTTTGCACTGTAGTCCGTCGTATGAGTTCCGGATTATATTGACAATCTTCTCAGGAATTCCGTAGTGTCGAAGAAGTTTCCTTAACGTCCTCCTATATACACTGTCAAATGCCTTTTCATAATCAATGAAGTTGATGTATAGTAACGAGTTCCACTCAATTGATTGTTCGACGATGATCCGTAGTGTTGCAACTTGGTCTGTGCACGGTCGATCTTTACGGAATCCAGCTTGTTGATCTCGAAGTTGGGCGTCTACTGCATCTTTTAAGCAAACCTCTGTTGAAGACCTTCCCTGGTATTGACAGCAGTGTAATGCTTCTGTAGTTTTCACATTTGTTCAGATCTCCTTTCGTTGGTATCTTGATGAGATGCCCTTCTTTCCAGTCCATCGGCACTTGTTCCTCCTCCCAAATCTTTTTGAATAGAAGATAAAGCATGCTTGTGGTTGCTTCAATGTCTGACTTCAGTGCTTCAGCTGGTATGTTGTCGGGTCCTATTGCTTTCCCGTTCTTGATTTGTCTGATGGCCATTCCGATTTCTTCCTTCGTTGGTAGGTTGATGTCTATGGGAAGATCTGTGTGTGCTGCTTCGATGTTCGGTGGATTCATTGGAGCCGGCATATTCAGGAGTTCCTCAAAGTATTCTACCCATCTGTTCCGCTGTTGTTGAATTTCACTGATTGGCTTGTCTTCTTTGTCTTTGAACGGTCTCTCTGGTTTACTATGTCTTCCTGCTAGTTTCTCCGTTGTATCATAAAGCTGTTTCATATTTCCTTCTCTTTCAGCTTTTTCTGCTTGTCTGCTCTAATGCTCTTCTTCACTCGCTTATTTGCTTCTGTGTATTCAGCTTGTGCTTGGACTTTCTCTGCTCGTGTTCCGCTGTTGTTAATTGCTGCCTTTTTGTTCTTCCTTTCTTTGATCTTGTCCAGAGTTCTATCAGAACCAAGACATTATCATTAACTGATCATAAAATATTAAACTATGTTATAGAATCCAAATATCAGTAGTAACATAGTTGAATAGATCAGTTTGAAATCTAGACAATAGTGTAAATAACTTTATACAGAGATGTATTTTGTTTGTTGTTATTTAGTTTAAAATAGTAGAAAGGAATTTCCAGTGCTACGCGTTGGGCTTGAATTATAATTAAGGTTTAGTTATTTCACAAATCTAATTAGCATTCTCATAAAATTCCTAAGTTAAGAATACATAAATTCTATCATTTCTTTTTTGATCTTGGCCTCAAAGATAAAGTTTTAGAAGAAAGTCTTAATAAAATAAAAAAATAAGCGGAGTACTAAGTAGAAATAAAAAAACACAGTCTATCTTTTCTTAATTTTTATTTGAAACCTTCCACCATTTCAAAAGATTCAATATATTTTTGTGCCAACAAACGGTCCTTCGGGTCATGGTAAGAGTATGTAACCTTGGAGTTATTGTACCGCGCATAATCTTAATGAATATATTTGATCAATAACTCTGATCTGGTGTCTGAAATACTAAGATTGTCATTTCTAAATTCTAGTAGATTAGAGATGGTAATTTTTAAGATAGTTCTAATCAGAACATAGTATCACAGCCCTCACACATAGCGAATGAGATTTGTGTGGCGCATATGTATTTGGTGCCTCCTCGTACCAATATCTGTGTTAAAATAAATAAATAAATATCGACTCGATGAATTACACAAATTCTTCAATTTGTGCGGTTTAGTAAATTCGAGTTTAGAGTATCTGGTTCTATTCACTTACTGTTGGAGATAACTTATATATGTCAATGGGTGATATTTAGTTTAGTGAGAATTATCATAAGAATACTTGATATTAGTTAATACTTAGCGATATACTGTAATGATGAATCATAATATATAGACCTGTATATTTATCTTTCTTTACTGCATAGTGATCTAGGTAAGGGATAAATAAAAGAATCTCAGTAAAAAGAGGAGAATAGATGAGCCTACTAAATATCACAGATAAGGTACCAGTAAGAAACGTATCAACAGCTCATCAAGTCCACATTAGTTCATATATGGTAGGTTTGTGAAGAGTGTACGATTCAATAACATTACATTCCAAATATAACTCCGAGTACTATTCTAAAAACAACAGTAGAAAAAACTTATCATACAGACTACTTTGTCTTTACCGAGACAGTCAGTCTTATCACTCCACTCAAATCACATGGGTAATACTTGACATACATATGTAAACAAACAATCGTGATTAGAATAACATATGAAAAATGGCTATAAAATCAGAACCATAGCTTCAAGGAAATGCATAAGATTAGAAATTATGCTTTTCTAATGTCAAGCATATACTTTCAAATAAGTCATGAAGCTCATTTGAAAACAACTTTCAAATTCTTATATAGGAACAGTCAAAAAAACATTGTGAGATTGGCAAAAACCTCAGGGATTATAAAATTTAAATGTCTTTTGTGATCTTGAAAATAATTTCTCCATTGCTTGAGTGCACACTAATAATCCTTGATGTATGTGAATACAATGTCATTTGTAAAAACGTATTCTTTCTAGACTATTCTGTCTTTTATTTCCGAATATCATCATTTGTTTACTGAATCTTTTCTTTGTTAATATAAAATATACTGATATAAATTGAAAGGTATTGTGCATAGAGAACAAATTTGATTTCTAATCACTCTTTCTGTATCCATAAAAGTGACTGATTTCTCCTAAATACAGTTAGTTGAGTAACTCTTGAGAAAGATTTCTGACAAAATATTTTCTTAACTTTTTTTATCTATTTACAAGTAACTGAACGTTCTACATAAAATCTTTGGACACCCTGATCACAGAAAAAAGACGACGATCAAAAATGAAATAAATTTTTAACAAATAAGGTTTATAGGAAGTTCCCACTCGTTGTATTTAATATAATCGACCGATTTTAAGTGGAAGACTATTTAAAAACCAGAAATCACTGAGTAGTTGATTCATTCAAATGTGGAACTCCTTAGCAGTGCTCACTTACAGTTATATCAAAGGCCGAACCCAGTTATTTCGAGCTTCATGAAGTGACTGACCATGGAAGTAAGAATCACCAGGTGAAAACCCAGTGGTCTAAAAGTAGCGTGCTCTCGAGAAGACTTACAGTTCCTGGGTTTTGTCTTTGGATAAATTATAGCCGTGTATTATTAAGGCTTGTTATATTAAAACCAAATCGCTGTCGAGCGCCACTTTGGCTTTAATAATTGTTCAAACAAAATTCGTTTCCAGTAAAAACTAAGCTGAAATAACTTCGGCGAACAATATCACTCTTTTTTTCACAAAATAACCTTCTAAAAAACATTAGCTTGAGTATCATAGAGACTAAATGTTTACTTAGATCTTATTCATCATCCGATGGGTTTGTTGTGGGTTGTAAACCTTATGTTTAGATTCATAGTTTAGTGTTTAAATCCGTACGATTATTGAATTTTAATCTCTGATAGAGAGACATTTAATAATTATTATTATCAGAATGGGTTTTTTCGAGATTTTAGAAATTTCACAGATTGAAATCATAAGTCAGTTGAAGCTAGACCACCATTGAAAACCTGGAAGCACTGGACGGCCGTTTCGTCCTAGTATGGGACTTCTCAGCAGTGCGCACCCACGATCCCGCACCACGCGGGGCTCGAACCCAGGACCTACTGGCCTCGCGCGCGAGCACTTAACCATTAGACCACTGAGCCGGCATCCAACGGTGTTAATGTCTAACTTCAACCAATCCACTAAGTTGCGCCACCGTACACCATTGTCTTCAGTGAGTTCCTATCTCACAACGGCCGTCCAGTGCTTCCAGGTTTTCAATGGTGGTCTAGCTTCAACTGACTCATGATTTCAATCTGTGAAATTTAATAATTAGCTAGATTATCACTAATAATCCAATCAGTTAATTTTTATAATAATAGTGCGATGACTGTCATGTGATTTTAAATCTAACTTCAGGGTAGATTTACATATACAGGTATTGAATTCTTAACTCTTACATAATGTATGGCTGGTAGATATTTTTGGAACAATTTTTTACTTGGTTAATTGACTGGGTTAATCTGTGACTACACTAGTATTAATTTCACGATCATTTGGTCACAGTGTATAATGGGTACATGTCATAAAAATGTTCCAATCATTTTGAGTATCATTAGATTAACACCATAGAATTAGTTAATTACAATCAATGATTATTGAACAACATGTGATAGAAACCGCTAAATATTTTTGTCAGTTTTCGATCTTTTTATTTAAATTCTTCAGGTAACTGAATAGTGCTTAGTGTCTTAGTGACAAACATAATTATTGAGCTATGAGGATTACCTGTAGAGAAATCTCACTCATTTTATGTTAGACAAAATGCGCCATAACGTTTAGCCAATTGATCATATGTTTTCATTGGGATTCAATCTATGGAATTGGTTAAAATAAGATATATATATATATATATATATATATATATATATATATATATATACTTGCTTAAAAATTACTTACTTAAATACTTACACCTGTTAACCCTCGTTGGGAAGCATAGGAAGCCCACCAGCATTCTTTAGCCAATTCTGTCCTTAACAATCCTTTCCAGTTCTTTCCAGTCACTATTCATTTTTGTGACGTCTGCTTCCGATTCCCAACGCAATCTATTCTTTGATTTTCCTTTTTTCCGTATCACTTCAGGATTCCAAGTTAACACTTGCCTCGTGATGTAGTAGCTGGGCGTCTACTGAATCATTTATCCGATTCAGCAACACTATTCAAAGTGTTCCTGGTACCGTTTGTAGTATGATACCTCTGTAGTTCTCACATTTATTCAGATCTTCTTTCGTTGGTAACCTGATGAGGTATCCTTCTTTCCAGTCCATCAGCACTTGTTCTTCCTCTTAGATCTTCCTGAATGGAACATAAAATACAGTTACTTTTATGTCTGACTTCAGTACTTCGGCTGGTATATTGTCAGATCCTACTGCTTCCCCACTCCTGATTTGTCTGATGGCCATCTGATTTCTGTGGCTGTTGGTGGACTGACATCTGTAGGAAGGTCTGTGCTTGGTTTTGTGCTGTGCGGTGGATTCAGTGAAGCTGGTCTGTTCAAGAGTTCCTCAAAGTACTCTACCCATCTGTTCCGCTGTTCTTGAATCTCAGGGATTGGCTTGCCTTCTTTGTCCTTCAACGGTCTCTGTGGTTTACTATGTCTTCCTGCTAGTTTCTCCGTTGTATCGTAAAGCTGTTCCATATTTCCTTCTCTAGCAGCTTTTTCCGCTGTCGTTGCTGGTTCTTCCAATATTTCTTCTTGTCAGCTCTAATGCTCTTCTTCACTTGCTTGTTTGCTTCTGTGTACTCATCTTGTGCTTGAACTTTCTCTGCTCGTGTTCGGCTGTTGTTAATTGCTGTCTTCTTGTTCTTCCTTTCTTTGATCCTGTCCAGTGTTTCTACAGAGATCCTTTCCTTATGATGGTGCTTCTTTAGACCCAGAACCTCTTGACACGTTGAAGTTAATGCTTTTCTGATCCCTTTCCAGTTGTCCTCCATGGAAGTTTCTTCTTTCTTCAGTAGATCTTGTAAGGCCTGAAACCTATTGTTGAGAGTTATCTTGAATTGGTTGAGTTTGTTAGTATCTCGAAGGAATGCTATATTGAATTTTTGTGCTACTGTTTCCCCTGTTGTTCAGTGTTGCTTTAGCTTCAGTTTTAAATTGGCCACAACTAGGTAGTGATCTGAAGCTATATCAGCTCCTCTCCTAGTTCTCACATCTTCCATTGTCCTTCGGAATTTTTTAGTGATACAAATATGATCTATCTGGTCCTACGTGTTGTGACCTAGTGAGTCCTATATAGCCTATAGGTTTTCTAGAATTATTATCGGTCCCAAGCCCGAGTAAAGTAGGAGCCTTAGGGATGGAGTCAGTAACCTAATCCCTTAGAAAACAACCTTTCTAAAAAACGCTAACCAGAATAAATAATTTAAACTTCTTGCTAATTACGGTTATTATTATTTCATATAAATAATCTTAACTTAAAGTAACATATGAAGATGGTATCATTCTGTGGTGTACTGTCATTCAAGTATGATTATTTTTTTATCTTCTTAAAAATTACAACTTTAATAGTTCAACTTAACTTATTTACTATTCTGTAGGGGTTGATAATTACTCCAAGGAATTCATTCTAATGATTTACACAGATATTATTATCATGAAAATGTTGTTATTTGTTGTGTATCAATAAATTACAGAAATTCTGCCGGTCATTTGACCCAAGGTTTAAATATTCTAAGGTTAACAATAGAATAATATATGCATTGTTAGTTTAAAAAAAGTAAAAGAATGTCACTTTTTTAATGATTCTGATATCGTGAAAAAATGTGATATTATTATATAAAATATAACCAGGGTTACAGTAAATATAATATATTTATAAGTTAAATATGATAGACATATAAATCTGTAGAAACAACTATTGAATATTGTCAAATACTAGATTGCCATTTTGTTCTAGTATGAAAATTTCCAGCAGTGAACTTCCATGAGTATGGAACCAGGAATCGAAACCAGATACTTTAGTCTTGCGTGTGAATGTTTAATCTCTAGACTACCGACCTGGTATATGGTAATTTACATCCCTAAATTTAATCTGATAAGTTTTCTAACCAAATGCTTGATTCAGTTTCCTATGGTCTTCTAACAACCTCAAGTTAAGTCTATACGACAACTTGATCACTAGAGAATAGGTGTGAAGTGTGAAACAAACATTTTATTCCAAGGTTGGTCTATGTACAGAAATTAGAGGGTATTTATAATATTTCAGATGGTCTTGGTCTTTTGAAAAATTCTGGGACCATACTAAACATAGTAGCAGGATAGGCAATTATCTAATTAAACATGTGACTCTTCATTTGCTAGAGGTTTCTAAGATATTTCTATTCAACGCTGATTGAATAAAATGTTTCCCAGAGTTTTCATGGCTCGTCTAAACTTTTTCGAGGAGTACTTTTGATCTCCTTAACACAACTGACTGAAGATATTGTGCGACCATTCTCAGTTGTCTTCGATAGGTGCAGGGTTTCGTGTTGACTACCTCCAACCACCATCTAAGAGTAGATAGTATTCACATCTCTATGCTAATAAGTCAAATTTAACACTCATAATTTGTTTGGGTTAATTTAATCATTCTGAATATGTGATTTTCATAACAAAGTGACATCGGGCTGCAGTATTGTTAAAGATTGATGTTATTTTTTACCGGGAGAACTACTCAGTAGTACTGAGTTACTATTTGGCATAAGACCAAAACCAAAGAACCCTCAGAACTGTTGGGTGATAGCTTCAAAACAACGAATCGTGAAGATAGTAAGTTTGATTTCATATCAGGGTCGTGAGAGAAATGTTGTCAATTACTACAGATACTCAACTCTGACATAAATTCATTAATCAAATCCTAATAAAGCGAATTTTCTAATACCATCATCAATTTATTTTATATTTCACTACAGTTTCATCATGCAGTTAATGAAGCTGAAGCCAGTTTGAAAGCACGTGTACGAATGACAGAACCGAGAAATTCAAGAGCATTACCTGCAACTTTGAAAAATTGTACAATTTTGGCCAATGAATTGAGAGTAAGTAATCAACTTCTTTTTGTAGTTATATTCAATACAGTTTATATAATACTATGAGATTAATTTTGACTAAAACATTATTTAATATTTATTTAGATAAACCAACTTATGATACAATTAAATTAAACAATTTAGCAGTCGAATATAGGATGCGCGTTTCGTTCTATTTGGGACTCACAAGTGAATGTACTTGCATTCCAGAGTTGATATCCACTCCGAGACTCCAACCCAGTACCATCCACTTAGCTACGGAGTCCTGATAGCCACTAGCTTGTGGAATGGGGCGAAGTGTCAATTCATTTTGTAGTGTTTATTTGAATCTTCATATTGATTTTTAGGACTGTCTCTTATTGGCATATGTAAATCGTGTACAGATTATCTCTATATTGTCTTAAATCACAAGTATTACACCATAAAGTAAATAATTAAATGTTTACACGGTAGATTATAAATCATATCCTGATTTAAACGATTATAACTTGCTAACAAAGTCATAGTATATACATCCAACTTATGAATTGTATCCTTTAATACAAAACCAAATTGTTCTATCTGGTTACTTCAAAACAAACACTGAATTATAGATAGTGATCTTAACTCCTTACATGGATTCAATTTATCTTTAAGCTTCACTGCATCGATTAGACCTGTAGTGGCATTGGACAATAGCCACACAATCCACAAAGCTGTGAACACGAGACTACTCAGAAAATAGATATTCAATATTTAACGCGGAGAAATACCTAAAAATGGAGAAGGCGCGAACAATGAATTGAATGGACTGGAGTTGATCGAGTGGCATGGCTCGGCCATGCAGGCGTGGTCTCTATTCATATTAAATATATTGTTTCTTCTCTAACCTAACCTTCTTCTTCATCATGTATTGGTAATTGATACGATACAGTGAGTTGGCGTAGTCGATGGTGTGACTTCCACGTAAGGTCTTATAGATTAGGCAGTTATATCATGACGAATCTACAAATTTAGGATTAGGTCTATTATTAGAGCAGTACTAATATCATAGTAGATCATAATTCTACAGACCATTAAATTATTGTTTGCTCCTTCTTTTTTTTAATTTTTTTAATTACTGAGAAATGAAAGGAACATTGGCAACCAAATTTGTAATAAGCTTAACGACAAAATTTTGACATTTGAAACCGTTTTTTTGTGTTTTTTTTCGAAAGTAGTAATTTATAATTTAGATTGATTTGTTTAGCTCATGACTTCTACTGAAATAGTTTCTCTTTAAAAAAAATTGTATGAATCATTATTGTAATTGGAATGTTTAGAAATAATGGAATGTGCATTTTTTGTTAAAGGAATTAGTCGTAGGAGTAATAATAATAATAATCATAATCCCTGCTGTTATATAATTAAAATATGTATGAGATTAGAATGTTTAAGAGAATGTTGGGAAAAACACTATTTTTCTAAGAAGAGACTAATGATATAAGATGATTATATGAACGATTTAGATAAATGTGTATTGGAGTTATTATCGTTATTATTACAAAGAATATAACATTTTCACAGATTGAACTCATGAGTCAGTTGAAGCTAGACCATCATTGAAAACCTGGAAGCACTGGACGGCCGTTTCGCCCTAGTATGGGACTCCTCAGCAGTGCGCATTCACGATCCCGCACCACCCGGGGCTCGAACCCAGGACCTACTGGCTTCGCGCGCGAGCACTTAACCATTAGACCACTGAGCCGGCATCCAACGGTGTTAATGTCTAACTTCAACCAATCCACGAGTTCAATCTGTGAAAATTTCTAAAAATCTCCACAAAACACATTCTGATAATAACAATCACCTGCTCACTAGTGACTGACTTCAGGAGACACTTCTGGAGTTCTAGTGAGAAGTCATTACCAGTGGAGTTCAACCAGGTCTGTTGTGAGATAGGAACTCACTGAAGACAATGGTGTACGGTAGCGCAACTTCGTGGATTGGTTGAAGTTAGACATTAACACCGTTGGATGCCGGCTCAGTGGTCTAATGGTTAAGTGCTCGCGCGCGAAGCCAGTAGGTCCTGGGTTCGAGCCCCGCGTGGTGCGGGGTCGTGGATGCGCACTGCTGAGGAGTCCCATACTATGACGAAACGGCCGTCCAGTGCTTCCAGGTTTTCAATGGTGGTCTAGCTTCAACTGACTCATGAGTTCAATCTGTGAAAATTTCTAAAAATCTCCACAAAACACATTCTGATAATATAACATCTTTTTATGAATATATAATACTACTGATAATGTCTGTAATTCCCCATTGTTGTTGTTGTTAAAGACCAACCAATCAGTCTCTATTGGCACATATAAATCCTGGATGAATAGCTTCAATATTTCTAGTCATATCGAACGAAGATTTTGTAGAGATTTTAGTAATTTCAATAGTTGGGATCATGAGTCCATGGAAAACCTGGAAGCACTGGACGACTGATTCGTCCTATTGTGGGACTCCTCAGAGGTGCACATTCATGACCTCGCCTCACGGGATACTAATCAACATATGCTCACTAGTGACTGGCTTCAAGAGGTATTTCCTGAAGTTCTAGTGAGAAGCAGTGACCAGTGGTGTTCAACCGTGTCAGTTGTGAGATAGTAACTCACTGATGACAATGGTGGATGTGTCGCTCAATTTCATGGATTAGTTGAAGCTAGACATTAACACCGTTGGATACTGGCTCAGTGGTCTAGTGGTTAAGTGCTCGAGCGCGAGACCAGTAGATCCTGGGTTCGAATCCCGCTAGCTGGGGTCGTGGAGGCGCATTGCTGAGGATGCCCACAATAGGATGAGTCGGCCATCCAGTGCTCCCAGGTTTTTCATGGTGGTCTAGCTCCAAATGACTCATGATCTCAACAATTGATATTTCTAATCAATCAAAAGTTTTTAGTCAAGTTGGATAATGATTAGCAGTGGAATCTAAAACGCATATTTAATCCTATTTAGAACTGAATTTTCCTTCTATCTCCTGCTTAATTTTATTAAACTACATGATGCTGACTAGTGTTTTGAATATAATTTACATCATGAACTGAATTTAGTAAGACAACTAGCTAGAATCAAAAGATACTGTGCAATTGGTTTGGCCTATTACTTGTCCGTTCTACAATATGCACTTAAAACCTTCTTCCCTTGTAAGCGGGTACCTTAGCTGATTTTAGTTTATGAAGAAAACTATTGACAAGTTAAATCATTATTTATAAAACGCCACAATAGAAACGGAAGCTAATTTCTTTGGGGAAAGTTTGAAAATAGTAAACTTGAAGAAATGTACTATCAAGTCGAATGAATAGGTTATTAATCATTTCCTTATGAGATAACTAACAGGTTATAATACATGTCAACAGTGAAAGGTATTCAGTAACAATAGATACCGTAAACAAAAGTGGTAATATAATAACATTCATAACTACACATTCACAATTTCGGAATTGTCAATCACGTGAACATACATTTTTCTTCAATAGACAGGCTTTAATATACGACAGAAAAGAGTCTGGTATACCAAAAATGATTGGTCAATACCATTACATCTTTAAGGATCAAAAAGGACCTAGTTAAGAATAAGTTCAACAAACAGTAGATCAGGCAAAGCCAAACCATCGAAAATACACGGAATGTGTACTCATACATACAAAACCAAAGTTATTGAAAAATACGTTTAATGATATTAACACGGCGAGACTAATTTATGGACGAACTAATTAGATTTAGGATAACAGGTATTGGATTATGGCGCGAAATTCATTCATCCATTTGGCTAGATAGCGTTCTGGCATTTTAGCTGATTTCAGTGAGTGATAAAAACCCTATACCTGATTCCTAACCTTAACCATCGACTGTAAATCATGATTCTAATTCCTCATACTGGTTTGTGATCCCAATTCAGAACTAGTTAGTAGGTGAGCATTCTCAAAGTCAATTTACTGTTGCTCAAAGGTTGTCTATAAATTATCGTCTCACCAACGACACCAAAACAAGACGCCTAAAGATATATATATTTTATTAATGAGTGCTAGACTATGGAAAGCTTGCATTGAAGATGTTCTTTAAATTACATCTCAATAATGGAAATCGAATAAATTCATTCACTTGTAACATATAGCTCATTTGAACTTATCATTCATTGTATACATTTTTTACCAAAAACATGCATAAACACTCAAGACAATGATTTTCTTTAACTTTAAAGAATTTATTAATTTTATTGTTATTATTTTTGCTATTATTAGGAACATCTTAATCATATGATTCATTTATGGGGTCGATCAGGCAATTTGCTTGAAGAAAGCCGACGTATTGTCCCTGTTCACTTAAGACTAGGTGGTGTTATTGATGGTCTGAGTACTAATACAGAATCCGCTAGTCCAGTTATGGCTCGTATGTTAACTTCATTGACAGGACCAAATTATGAATTAAAAGAAGGTGAAGAAGTACGCGTTATTTCGAATAAAGATGATCAACACTTTTGGACAGTACAAACAAATAATGGTATAGTGAAAATACCATCTGTTTGTTTATGGATAAGTGATCCAGATTTAGAAGCTGTAAAACGATCAGTGATGTGAGTGTGATGATAATTATTCCTTATTTTTGTACTCATATTAAGTCGCCAAGTAAGCAGTCCAATAAATACTCTGATTTCATTAAAACATAATTTTACAAAAACACGTCTTATCCTCTTCACAATACACCGCATTCGTAGAAATTTACCAACTACTTCTTCATTTCTGTTGTTCGATAAATGACTGACAGTTCTTAGACGTCAAGCCGTTCAGATTCATAACATTAATTTAACGTCTCCCTACCTTTTCATTTCATGAGAAAACTAAGTTTCAGGACTTTAAATTTAATTTGGCTGGAGGGTGCTAATCACTAATATATGAGCAGCATATTTGTCGTTATGTAGCAAGGACCCATCAACACCATACATTTGATCATATATGATCCTTCAAACATCTGAGGACCTCCAAGTAGTTGGTACCACTAACTAGCTATACGCTATACAATGCAATTGGTCGTATGTTTAGTTATATACATGATTAAAAACCTTTGTAGCTTATCTATTGAACGCTTCATGCATATGAATGTTACATAATTCCTTCCAGAAGGTGTTTATACAACGTGTCAGTAAACGTTAATGAAAAAATTCAGTTAGTAATGACTATTTACTTAAGGAAATTCAAAACTGAAATTTATGGAAACTCGAACAGTAGTAAAAGTGACAATAAAATACTAACTAAGTACTTCATCTTAACTGATCATATTTGTCAATGCAAATTCTTTTGGTACTTAAGATTTATCATTTTCACGTGCAATACTTACTAATTAATGTGTTGGGATACAATTACTGTGCTATAAAGCAAAATAACCTTGAACATTATTATTTCATTTCATATAAACAAACACTATTGAACAATTAAAACTATCAGTTTTCAATATGTTGCTTATTCATAGTGTAAAATGATAGAGTATAAGTTCTTGATTTGACCACATTATTGATTCAGAATCTATACGTACATAGAATGGGAAAACTGGATCAAATGTAACCGATCAATGCTTCATAGATTTACACGATTTCCTTAGTTGATATCACAGCGATAAAAAAAGCAACTGTGATAAATTTCACCTCAGTTTAATTCTAAATACCAACAAACTGCATTGATGATAATGTCAGAGACGATGAGTCGCAATTTTGAAAATGAAAGTTAACGAAACGAAATTATATGGTCATTGAAAGAAACCAAATAAATTATTATATCCCAGATTTTTTTAACCAATATACTTTCCTTGAAATTGAGGACTCTGTATTATATATATAGGTGAAAATGTATTAGGATAACCTTCCTCTAAAAGTGTTCAATAAATGTTCCATATCTAGCATTTCCGACTACTTTCCCGTTCATTTAGCGTAACAATACTTCATATAAGAGTGTAGTTTTCATTAGAGACTTCAATCTAATCGTCTAAAACTACTAACTTATATCATTTGTGAACACGCTATTGTGACGTATCCCAACTTAGTAGATGAAACGAGCCAATAAACTACAGATTAGTATTTGAAATCAAATCTGCAATGAAAATTATAATGTTACATATATCGTTCACTGACTAACTGAGCAGGAAAGTGCTAAATATCAAACACATATTAAATATTGTGAAGATGCATTACAAATTTACAGAAACATGTATAATCACACAACAATCAAGGGAATATGAGAAATATTCACAGCGAGAGGGAGATTCAAATACTACTACTACTGCTACTACTACTACTACTACTACTACTACTACTACTACTACTACTACTACTACTAATAATAATAATAATAATAATAATAATAATAATAATAGTAATAATAATAGGTAAGCCTAAACCATGTTAAATACAAAGATAAGACATACTTTTTATATACAGGAAGTTCAGGCATTATCTCATGGATAATTAAAAAGCTTCTATGGTTTTAACAATTCAGATATGGAAATACCTAAGTAGATTTAACCAAATTCTCTAATCAAACATACATTTCAGCATATAGATTAGTTGAAAGATTACAGTTGATTGAATATTCAAAGGTAAAATTTTCAACCATTGTAGAACTAATTGTAAGCAATGGTAGATAGTGGCTAACAGTGGGATCCTGGACGCGTGTCTCGTCCTATTTGGGACCCATCAACTGGATGTACCTGCATCTCAGAGTTGTTGTTCACTCTGGGACTCGAATCCAGTACCATTCGCTTCAAACGCCATCGGCGTTATCCACTCAGCTACTGAGTCCTGATAGTGACCTGCTTGTGCAATGGGGTGAATTAAGATTCACTTGTTATTGTTTGGCTTGTGAATTAAGGTAATATCGAGGCATACGCACAGTATGCACATATGCCAATAACAGACTGATCAATTGCAGTCTTAAACCTCAATGGGAAGATACAAGCCTAACAATACCAAGTGAATTGTAGAACTAAGCTGATATATGTTCTTTCATTCTAAATAATATGTAGGTATATAATAGACACATTTGAAAATAAACTTTTTTCAATCTGTAAACAAGAACACTTGTAAGCTTCAAGAACAAACAAACAAACAATATATATTGCTACAGATCAAAGCTATTCAAAACTAATGTAAACAATTTACGTAAATTAGAGTACATGTTGCACAAACTTTTTCTCACTTCTAAACTACAATAACAATGAATGTTTAGGATCTTCACAAAATAACATTCAAGCATAGTCTTGTTTTCCAATTGAAGCTAAAGAATGAAATTTGAGTGTTTTATTATTATTTTTTTTTTGAAAGTTAACATTATTTGAAAATGATTATGGTATACTATACTATATCAACTAAACTGAACAAGTGAACATGTATCTATCTCCATGCTTAAGAACACTTTGTGTTTGATTACAATTTTAATATTAAAAAACTTCTTTCTAATTTTACCAACTATAGATTTTGTTAACTTTGTTTTAGTGCATAATAATTTGTACATAACAGTATATAATGTTAATTAGTCAGTTAGATCAAAGGATATGAAACGTGTTTCGAACCTGTGATCAAATGGTTGAAAGTTAAGTATTACAAGCTAGTCACTTATTATTTCATTCATGTCTATACACATTTTTCAACAATCATTAAACAATTTATTAACTTGTTGCATTGTTTAGACTTCGTGAAAAATGTATTGAATCATGGGATTTACTTGTGGAAAGATCACGTGAACGACTAAGATCATATTACAGTTGTTTATTAAATCAAATGGCAGAAAATGGAGTAAGTTTTATTCTTTAGTTTACTTCTTTTTATTGTTTAGTTATTTTTGAGAATATTTCAGTTGATTTTCATTTATATCGGGTTAAATAAAGATTTGGTTAGACTTGGAAATGTAAATTATTGAATGCTCACCTAGAGTAGTGTTAAACATTCTCTAAGTGCCATAAAGGTCTTGAGTACGACCCCTGGCTAGTTTGTGAGTATGGACTATTAAAATCTCTGATATAAGGAGGATATGGGTATCCATTTCTCTCTTTGTTTTAAACGAGTCCCATATAGGAAAACCAACTTTATTGTGGCTTAAGAATATAAATAATCAATATTCAAGGTTACTTTAATAAATGAATCTTATTTTCACAAATATACGATCATTTTCTTTTTTATTTAGAATTCAACATTTGAGTGATAGAAAAATATTTCATCATAAGCAGAACACAATGACTCCTAATAAAGGATGTTAAAGTGGCGATTTGTAAAAGTTGAGAGGTTTACTGGTTAATTCTTTCTTTCTAAAAACAACCGAGGGAAATAATAAACTGTCATTGAAGAGAAAGAAATATACATATTCATGCTTGAGCAGGTGTGATATGATGTGTGGCGTCCGAAATCTGGTACAAATACACAGTGTGTTAAGCACTCACCTCCTCCCTCAACTGACTACTTGAGCGAGAAAGTGTATTGGCCTACCGAATAAAAGGCATGATTACTCATCATGTATATATATATATATATAATTGATCCATTTCTTGGCCAATAAAGTGCACTTGTCCTTTAGGTCACTTCTGACTGCCATCGATTGATCTTCTCACTAGGCTTCTCATTGGTTCTTCAGATCATGATGTTTTCTTATTTATCATAAAAGCCATCTACCAGTTCACTTGCAACAACTTTTGTGTTTATTAAATGAAGCTACTTAGAAGTAGTATGTAATCGTAATAGTGTTTCAGGATTGACTCTTATATGGTTGTACAGCAAATTTATGGATGTCTTAAGGAGTTACTAAGCGTTCGACTGACATTAGTAACTTAATAAAGTTTTAACCAATTAGCAATATTTACATTTCTTGGAAAAACATAAAATTCATCCCCATCGTACAAGCTAGCGATTATCTGGATTCATTAGCTTAATGGATTACGTGCTAAACGTTTAAAGCGAAAGGTATTAAAGTCCAAGTTTTGTAGTAAATATCAACACATTGAAATACAAGTTCATTCAATTCATGAGTCTCAAAGTGGGACAAAAATATATATATTCTGTATTCTATTACTTGTCACTATTCATCTTTGCATATACAATAATGATTGTTTGTATAGAGCTGTAAACAAGTTGATGATTCTTATTTGTATTTATGTTTTCATTTTTTTTTTAAAAATCTATACAGGATATTCAATATCAGCATAAAATAACTATGGATAATTTTCTGGAAGATTTAAGAGGTCTTCTATTACCTAATGACACAAGAGCAGTTGAATTAAATCAAGCTATATATGCATTTACAGAGAGATTAAAAATGACAGATAGTAAGTAATATGTTTATTTATTTACATTGTACTATTTTTTTGTTTCTCTATAAAAGATAACATTCTTTAAACAAAGATCGATAGTGGCTAGCAGTGGAATCCAGGACGCGCGTTTCGTCCTATTTGGGACTCGTCAACTGGATGTACCTGCATCCTAGAGTGAACATCAACTCTGGGTTGCAGGTACATCCAGCTGACGAGTCCCAAATAGGACGAAACATGCGGCCTGGATTCCACTGCTAGCAACCATTGATCGTTGCCTAAAAAGCTTGTAACTTAAGGTTATATCAAGGCAATCCGCACAGGATGCACATATGCCAACATGAGACTGATCAATTTCAGTCCTAAATAACAATGCAAAGATACGAGTAAAATAACACCAAGTGAATAACATTCTTTGTTTTAATTAAATAGAATAAGTTTTGGAATGTTAAGAGAATAATAAAAATAGTTCGTACAATGAAACTCAATAATAATAATAATAAATACGGAATATTGTTTACTAACTAAAATGATATAATTGACAGGATCTTAACAAATAACTATACTTACTATTCTTAATTTATTACTTGTCAATATGTGTAACATAGGAGTGATATTTTGTTAAATCTTTTACATGTATCTGAGTATATACATTATAACTAATAGTTTATTGTACTGAAAATACCTTTCTATCTTAAGTGAACTCAATGATAAATTTTAAAATAAAATGATTCAGTAGTCCTATTCCTTTTCATATGTTAATGATATGGATGTATAATGATAGTGAATATGTATTTGAAAGAAAAAGAAGAAAAAAAAAGAGAAAAGAACACAATCATTTAACACATTCTTGTCATTGTTCTATCAAAATGATAATGTGCTTAAAATCAAATTGTTTATTGTAAACTTTTGAATGATATATTGATCGTTATTATTTGCTGAAGTGCAACTTCTCAAAAAACAAAGCAGTGATATTATAAAAGAATAGATTCAAACCAAGTTTCACTAATTTTGATTTCAGCAACTAGGATGGTATCATTAACTTGAACACAAACAATACGGTTTAAAGTTGAATACACAAACTTATAACTCATAGACATGTTACATAAAATCTCAAAAGGAAAAAAACACTGTGAAAGTTTATCTAGTGTATTGAAAATAAATAGACCATTGAAATCCAGGAAAGATTGGATAGTTGCTTCGTCCTAGTTACCTCCGGGTACTTATGTGTTTATACATGATGAGAATTACGAGCTACAGGCTACGCTGAAAACTCAATGTTAGAAAATTAGTTAGTCAATTCGACGGAAGAAAGATAACATCCAACTGACTCCACAAGAACAAAAAGTCTTAAATAAACTCAGAACTAGAGAAGATATTGTCATAGTCCCAGTGAATAAAGTACACACTATAGTAATTATGGATAAGGAAGAATATATCAGGAAAGCTGAGGAATTACTTGGGATAAAAGTGTAGACAAACCGAAAGACACAAATTCAGTCAAAAGCTTAGACAACCAAAACTCAAGGACTTTAAACAAGCTTGTCAAAGCAGGACAAATATCAAAGTAAGATTAATGGAGAATAAAATCCAATGGACAAGTACTCCTTCAATTCTACGGTAGGCCGAATATACACAAACCAAGAAGGCAAGGACACACTGCAACACACACTTGCGGTGCGGAAAAATGAAGAGAAATATCATAAGACTACCTTTCAAAAGAATGGCTACCCACTCAACTTCATCAAAAAATACCAACCAAATGCATCAGCAGAAACAAAATCAAGCACAGAAACCAACAAACGGATCATCCTACCATATGTAAAAGGCATATCAAAAATTACGAGATTGTCGAAGCTTCGTGGAATAGGTGTAGCACATAAACCAACAAAATCACTTCAATCAATACTGTGCAAGCCAAAAGATGAAATGATAAAAGTAGAAAAACCGACCATCATCTACAAAATAAAGAATTCCATGTGCGAAAAACACTACATCGAACAAAGTGGACGCCCACTTCATCTTCGACTGCACGAACATCAATGAGCGGTCAAACGCCATGGCATATTCTCGCTTATATCAATACATGTGGACAACTTTGGACACACATTCGACTGGAAAAATGTTGAGATCTCGGAAAGAGAGAATTCTAAAAACACCGGAGAGTTTTCAGAAGCTTGGCATTCAGGTCAATCAGCAGTCAACAAACACTGTGAAATCGATTCAATTCACTAACTAATCAGGAAAATTATGAACAGATATAGAAGTAAGGATCAAATCAATGGGAGATATAATCAAAATAAAGAAGTCAACAATATTCAATCAAGATCGAGATCTACAAAATAAGTTGTGAGCCATATATGGACAAACTAACACTTTACTTCTACTTGAATTTTGTGTTGATGACGTCATTCAGAATAGCGATTAAAGCTCCACGACCAAACCATCTAGCTAAGAGGACAAAACACCAAAATTAGTTAGCATTCATGAATTTTCCAAATGTATTCATATCACATGAACAGTGCCCAAACTAAATCGGTGTCTTTGTCATTCTATTATTAAAAAAGAACCTAATTGTAACAGTGATCAAAATTGTCTTATATCTTAAGTACTTTTGGACCCACTGGTCCAGTGGTATGACGCATTATTCACTGCAAGTTTGTAGATGACAGACACTTTTGTAGGTTGTAGTAAGCCCATTCAACAGTTTTATTATTTGTTTATACTTGCTGTATCTTAAACATTTAATCCACCACATAAAATTATGTGTGAATCTGATTGAACGCGTGTCTATACATCAATAATCTTTCTCCTCTCTCATTAGTTGTAAACATAGGCAATAATTTATGCACAATCGATTAACACTCATATATATATATATATATATATATATATATATATATATATATATATATATATATATATATATATATATATATATATATATATATATATATATATATATATATATGGATCTTTAACACTCACATAGATACACACACCCATTCGTTTCCCTGTTTGCTTGCTATCTCCGCTCTTGAGGGTTTTTATTAGTCATTGACAAAATACTGTCTCTACAGCCGGTGTTCTTGCTTTTGAATTGTCTTGAGTAAATTTATGATAATACTAGGAGATTTGGCCTGCGTAAATACTCAGATGTAGAGGAAATAGCTTCTACAAGGTAAACTAATCCGGGAAATTTATCTGTTAATCCATCTTATATAAACATGGTAATATATTGGTGGGATTAACAATAGATGATCCATACTTACTATTCAATAAAATATCAGGGCAAACCTTAATTAAGTTGCTGTATAGAAAAAAAAGTCATCTACAGGTAAGCATACGTGACGAAGCGTCATAAAAGTCGAGGGTTAAAATGAGTGTTGTCGATTGAACACCTATACATAAGATGACTATTCTGTTTTAAAGACATTTTATTCCACCATATTGTTAAGATAATTTAGATCGTCTTCGCATGATGGTTTGTGCTACTCGGTCGATCAAGTGTAAATTATAGTCACGTGATCTATTCAACATTATAAGTAGAGAGAGTTATCGAATACTAAAGATAACTAGCTTGAGCGCAACATTCGAACTGACGCTTTTTGAGATATTTGTAGTATTACGGTGAAAAGTCGTTCAAATATTTCGTAATTAGTAGTTATACTAATCTAATCTGAGCAAAGAATAAATCTCTTCAGTTTATCAGGTCTAAGATGACCTAGCCCTCATATCACGTACACACGAACAGATGCAAATGAAGACAGCCAGTGTAGCAGCAGTCTCTGCATCAGTAGGCCTCAGCATACACAAAGGGAAAACTAAGGTCCTCAAATTCAAAGCGGAGAACAGCAATCCAATCACACTTGATGGCGAAACTCTGGAAGATGCAGAGTCCTTCACATACCTGGGAAGCATCATCGATGAACAAGGAGGATCCGATGCAGACATGAAGGTGAGGATCGGCAAAGCAAGAGTCGCATTCCTACAATTGAAGAACATATGGAACTCAAAACAACTGTCTGTCAACCAATATCAAAGTCATAATCTTCAATACGAACGTCAAGGCAGTTCTACTGTATGGAGCTGAAACTTGGAGAACTACTACAACCACAATCAAGAAAGTACAAGTATTTATAAATAACTGTCTACGCAAGATACTCAACATCCATTGGCCGGATACCATCAGCAATAGCCTTCTGTGGGAGAGAACAAACCAACTTCCAGCTGAAGAAGAAATTAGGAAAAGACGATGGAAATGGATAGGACATACATTACGCAAATCGTCAAACTGCATCACGAGGCAAGCCCTAACTTGGAATCCTGAAGGGAAGCGAAAAAGAGGAAGGCCAAAGAACACATTGCGTTGGATAATAGAAGCAGATATGAAAACGACGAATTACAACTGGACGGAGCTCGAAAGGATTGCCCAGGACAGGGTTGGATGGAGAATGCTGGTGAACGGCCTATGCTCCTTCACGAGGAGTAACAGGCGTAAGTAAGTAAGTAAGTTATTAGGTCTAAATCATTAGTAATATACTCGAATCAATCACGTAACTTAGGTTATTTAAGCTATTTTCTGACCATTACTTACTTACGCCTGTTACTCCTCGTGGAGGAGCATAGGCCGCACACCATTTCTGACTATTAGGCGAGATAGTGGCATACGACATAAATTAACTAAAACGGAACATACTATTTACATTTCTAAGAGTATGGTGAATAATAAATATATTTTTGCTATGTCCCAATGAGTAGGAAATTTATATTTTTGACGTTTCATGACTTAGTGTAAGCCACTTATTCAGAGTAATCCGGTTATTTATTGACTCTGAAGAAGTCACTTACATTAAGTCACGAAACATCGAAAATACGATTTCCTACTTATTGGAATATAACAAAACATATGTGTATCAATAACTTTCTATCCAATGCGTAATTTATTTGAAACTATCAAGTCTAGCTTTGACATTGATGCCTATAGCATAGTGAATAGTTTACACTATATTCAATAAATACTTTCCTATAGGCCTTTTTTACTGATTACTTATGATAAGATTGCTTATTAAAAATTTTTTTCTGTTTACTGCTTTTTCCTTATTAGTCAATCGACAACGTAGTTCACATGGCGGAGTAGTTTTAAGAGAACAAGATATTGTTTGTATGCATAGTCCATTGTTAAGACTACGTGATCATGAACGGCAAATGGACCATTTACGTGCACAATCTGAACTGGCTGGAACTCATATGACAAATTATTTACGTGAAATCGATGCAGATCAAAAACGAGTTGATCATGAATTATCGTTGATAGAGTTAGTTAATTTTCAATAATTGTTGGGATTATTTTTTTCTTAGTTTTCTCAAAACACACACCAGTGAGGTGGTTGTCACTTATGTAATTGAATGATTATCGTATCATACATCATGAATTAATTGAAGCTGGAACTACGGGACAGTGGCTTTGAACTTAATAGCCTAATGGGTTTGTAGTCACTTCAAAATCATAGGATCGATTCTGTGTACGGTTATGTGTGCAAATTGATGTGCAGTCCCGAAATGAGTAAAGATAGTTGTCCAGCGCTCTCTGATTCTCACTTTATTCTACAGACGATGGTATTCTGTGATGGAAGCTATCGAACATGTATATAAATTCAGACTATACTAACAATGTGTTCATAATTGATAAAGATTCAAGAAACTCCTAACCTGAATTAAAAAGTTTTTTTTTCAAAGACATGATTGGACATAATTTGTAGCATATTTGGCAGTTGAGGAAGGCACATCATTAATTTCATTTTGCCATGAAATCCAAAGCTATCTAAGTCAATCATAGTTACAAAGTAATAATTGAAAGTTTACAGCTTTCGTCACTGTATGAAGTCATCAATCATTATAACATGTTATCCTTATAGAATCGACTGATCTCAAAACTTATGATTTCTGGTATAATTTTTTTCCCACATAAAACAAGTTCTATGATCATTGATCCTTTAAGATAGGCTAACAAATGTGAAAACTAATTATTGCCCCAATAGGTTCTTCATTTTCGAAAATTTCCGTTACTGTACAATTTGTTGACGAATATCCGCTACTATCCTTATACTTCATATATTAATCGACTTGATAACCGTTATTACTATAATTCTTAATGATGTGCGGTCTCCAAAAGTCGGAATGAAGTTGTGGGAACAGTTTATTCCAGACATAGCTCATATCTAACGATCGGCAAGTAAATGATAGGAAGAGGGAAACTGATTAATTAACGAAGAAATTAATGTGATTTAACAAGCTAAAATATATAGGAATATACGGGTGATTCATCAAGAGCTTTAAGCAACTAACATTTAAGCAAGTAAAAGAAATAAATGCGTAGCTTTTACTTCTGCTCATCGGTTGCATGAAGAGATATGTATAGAGAATACAGGTGACTTAATGCATATCAAAATGGCACTGTCTATCTGCCTAATAGGTTAATTAATGGGCTCAACAGACTTAAATATATACAGGTTCATGTGGATGATAATGATGTAAATTAATGACAACAATTGTATTTATTTTTAATTGAGATCATGAACCGATTGATGTTAGACCACCATTGAAAACCTGGAAGCACTGGACGGCCGTTTCGTCCTATTGTGGGACTCCCCAGCAGTGCGCATCCACGATCCCACCCGCGGGATTCGAACCCAGGGCCTTCAGTTTCGCGCGTGGACGCTTAACCTACTGGACCATTGGGCCGGTATCAAATGGTGTTAATGCCTAACCTCAACCAATCCACGAAATTACGCGACCATCTTCCATTGTAACGAGGTAGACACCTGACTCTACCCGACACAGATTAGCTCCACTGTAGGTTTTTTTTACAATGCCTACTCTACTACTGTCAGATAGACATGATAAGGTGAAGAAAATAAGTGGCAAGTCTGTCCCATGCAAACGAACTTCAGTATATTTACGGATAGCCTTAAGAACAGCCAATCAGAATGCAGGTCCCGGGTAGGAGCTTGGAAATATAGAAAAAAATAGAAATACAGAGGGTTAAGAGTTTCTAAATCATTAATGAACTTATAGTGCTTAATATCGATCATTCAGGCTGGATATCATGGTTTTGTAATCAGTTTAGAACATAATTCTTGGCTCCTTATCTTTTCAAACCTAACTCATAACCCAAAAGCTCCTTAACACTAATACTCCTAGCCTTAATCCTGAGTTCAAATCCTACAATCCGTAACCCAAACATTCTGACCTTAACAGTTCATTCTCCAAGGAAACCATCATCCAATCCTTTTGAAATAAAAAAATATAATGGAGGTCATGAGTTTTGGTAACAACCTATCCGTAATGGCGTTTTTAATTTGCGCATGGGTTAGACTTATTTTGATTAGCCATTCAGGGCCGTCAGTATAGCATAGTCGGGCTAAGTTACGAAGACACAATAAACACAAGAATAAAACGACGAAGTAAATGAAATAATATATTTGTAATATTCCAATGGGTAGAAAAATTAGTTTTTCTAACGTTGTTCCTCTGTACGATCTAAACTTGGATTAATTTTGACTTAGTTATTCATTCTCCGAAGTGACTTACACTGAGTCACGAAATGTCAGAAAATCTAATTTTTTATATTTATTGGGTTATTACAAATATATTATTTTTATTAATAACGATCCACTCAGTATTTAGCTTTTTCAAAATTATCAAGTCAAACTTTAGTATTTATACCTTAAAATGATAAAGTATTCATTATCTAGTGGAACTAAATTATACAGATAACCTTGAACCACTTTCCAGCCGAGGAAAGTGTTTGGTTATAAAATGATTTATGATAAAAAATGTAGTATACTTGTAATTGATAAAGTTTTAACATGAGTACCCTACCCTTACACATGAATTACTAAGTTTCATGAGGAAATGCTCTCAGCTATGTGAAGACAACTATCCTCTATCAATGTTCAATAAAAGTGCCATATCTAGCATTTCCGACTACTTTCCCGTTCATTTAGCGTAACAATACTTCATATAAGAGTGTAGTTTTCATTAGAGATTTCAATCTAATCGTCTAAAACTACTAACTTATATCATTTGTGAACACGCTATTGTGACGTATCCCAACTTAGTAGATGAAACGAGCCAATAAACTACAGATTAGTATTTGAAATCAAATCTGCAATGAAAATTATACTGTTACATATATCGTTCACTGACCAACTGAGCAGGAAAGTGCTAAATATCAAACACATATTAAATATTGAGATGTATTAAAAATTCATGAACACGTGACCAATTCTGATCAGCTGTAGTGCAAGAACGAATTTCGCGCTGAAATCCGATTATTTCCACGATATACTTTATTCGTTCTCATTATTTGTAACATATTACTTCCAATTCTTCACCACTTTTTATTCTTTAACATAATCATGTGCCAACCAACTAACTTCACGTTATGTAAAATGTGTCCATTTTGTTTGAGTTGTAATTTTACTGGATTTTTGTGAGTCATCTTTTACCAGAGTATAAGTTAAATATTCCACTGCTCTTAATCAGAATTTTACAAACTAATGATTTATTCATTTCATTATATACTCTAATTCAAAGTGACAACCAATGTAAGTTAGGCCAGCAAATGTGCCTGGTCCTACGTTGTAGCTGACTGACTGAGACCGGCATCGGAAACTTGGAAGCACTGGACCAATGTTTCATCCTAGTATGAGGATCCTCAGAAGTGTGTATCTGCCACCACAAACGCGGAAATTTAACCCTAGACCTTCGGTCTGGTGTGCAAACGCCTAACCTCCAGACCACTGAGTCTCAGTCCAACAGTGTGGATGTCTAACTCCAATAAATTTACGACATTGCGCGACCACTTTCCACTGTCTTCGGTGAGTAACTACTACACACTCTACCCGGATTAGCTTCACTGGTCACAGCTTCTCACTAAGACCACGGAATTACCTTTCAGAGCTAGTCACGAGTGTGCATATTAACAATTATCAACATAGGATTGTGGATTGATTAGTTTACTTTATACTGTGGAATAACTTCAATATCAATGTGAACAGATAGATAATAATGAACTGTTATCAGTACATGGTGATAACCATTTGTTCGTTTTACTATCAAATTCCAAATTAGGCTATTTACTTGGATTAAAAAATAATAAAGGCTTAGATCAATGTATTTTAATGGGAAGTACGTCAAAAGGTTAGAAAAAAGAAAATAGAGATTGAAATAAAATTAGCTAAAACATTATTAAAATTGCTGAATCAGAATTGTTCAAATTATATTTTAGAATATTGAAGATTCCCATTGAGGAAATTAGAACAACATATATAAGCGAACAATTGTTTTCAATTAGATCGTCATCAGGCTTTGCTCTAATATATATGAATATTTATACGAAAATTTTAAACCAATCAAGGTAATATGGGTCAATAATCACAATGAAATAGAATGTCATCACACATAATAGGTAAAAATACAGGTTGATAGTAGGAAGACAGGTGTACTGATAGTAGTAAGGATAATAAAGTACGATAACAAAAGTCTTATCAATAGTTAAATGTTGGAAATAGAAGGTCAAACGTGGGTAAATAGACCTGGAATAGTCAGTCAGTCAGTCAGTAACAACGTGGAACTTCGTACGTACGGATATCTCGCCTACGCCATAAATGACGCAAGTTGGCAAAAGCTAGTCGAGCCTTCTGTATCCGTGCTGAGATTTCGTCACACACCAAACCACAAGGGCTGATGAGACTTCCAAGATAAGTGAAGCGGTCGACACACTCAACTACTTCACTCCCTATCATTAGTTCGGGTGTCGATGTAACCCAATCCTGAAGCAACATTTTGCATTTCGAGGGAGAGAATCGCATCCCGAACATGCTTGCATTGTTGCTTAGAGTGGTCAGAAGACTCTGCATTTTGTCAGCGTCTTCACCAAATAAAACTATGTCATCAGACACACATTCAGACGCCCCACAATGGTAGTATTTCTCGACCTTAAGGCGGCATTCGACTCTATTGATCGTGAGGTTCTATGGCAGTGTTTGTCACTGAAAGGAGTACCAAAGAAGTTGGAATAGTCAACACAAAACATTAAAATTATTACGTAATAAGAAGTGTGTAAATAATTAGATGATGAAGAATACAAACGGAAAGAGGCGGAAAATTTCATTGTGATTGTTAATCCATATTGCCTTGATTGGTTTAACATTTTCGTATAAATATTCATATATATTAGAGTAAAGCCTGATGACGATCTAATTGAAAACAACTGTTCGCTTATATGTGTTGTTAAAATTATATTTGAAAAAGGGTCGAAGAAAGGTCATTACATAATTAAATACAATTTATTTTAAAACAATTAGTCCATTTGATAAATTTCAATAACGCAATGAGAAGACGAAGTTTATCAGAATTGTGTGATATATGTTTTAACAATGTCTTAACAAGCATATGTGTAATCATAATGGTTTATATTTTTATACTTTTCTTATGTTTCTTTATTTAGTCAGTTACAACATGAGAGTCAGTCTCAGTTGGATCAATTGATAAATCGTGTGAAAAGATGGAGTAGCCGATATGAACATGAACCGAATGTTGATTCTAGTATAACCAATTCTAGAATAAGTTCTAGTTTAAAATCTAGTACAATATCTGACAATTGGACAGGTAATAATCAAATGTATCCAATAGATGCAAGATCACCTCAATCTATAGTGAGAGAAACATCACGATTATCGTGTAGAACAAGATCAGAATCAATTCCATGCCCAGCACTTGATGCTATTACACAAATCGGTGTTACAACCAAAACATCAGGGACTCAAATTTCTGATGACGAAGGTGATGGTGGTCGTAATAAAATAGATTTATGTGTATCTAAAAGACAATTTGTGCCAGCGACGATTCCTGAAAGAAAACAAGTAAGAAATGCAATAACTCAAATTGGAGTTTCAAAAGTTGATGCAGGCACACAAGATGACTATCATGGATACAGTCCTAAGCGTTCAGTTAAAGAAGTATTATGTCAAATAGGTCAAATTACAGCGAATGCTTCATGTCAAACATTAGAACATTACAAGCTGCAACAAGCGCTTAAAAAGCCAACTTTGGATGCGATAGTTCAATCTGGTGTTATCACTAAGAATAATTCCACTCAGTCGGAAAGCATCACAGAAACCGTTGTGAAAATGGACGTACCTGAATCACAAAAAGGTGCACGAAAATACAGCGTACTAGATGCTATCTGTCAAATAGGACAGGTTACACAAACAATTGGAACACAAATAGAAATAGAGAATACAGAAAGAAATAAGAAAAATCTTGGAGTTCAAGCAGAAATCAAGAACGTATGGCAACACCCAGTGAAAACAACTGAAGCCGCATGTCAAATAGGTAGGATAACAATAAACGCAAGTACGGAGATGTCATCAATGCTCATCAGTAATGAACAAATGATAAGACAAGATATGAAGAAAAGTGATATAGTGTGTCAAATAGGAAAGGTTCAAATAGCACAATCAACACAGGCCGACTTTATTAAGCATATGTTACGCAAACCATCGTCCGATGTAGTATGTCAAGTAGGAAGTGTTATGGAATCTTCAGGGATCCAGATAGATGAACCTCATAAAACTTCAATGTTACTAGCGGGAACTCAAAGTGCCAAAACACCAACATACACTAAGGAGATTCAGACAGATATGGGATTCCGAGTGGAACCGAAGTTTGTGTCGAAGGCTGTCAACGATGTTATATGTCAGGTTGGTCAGGTAAACCATGAAGTATCCACACAGTCAGTTGAACATGTCACCGCTAGACCAGCATACAAGGATACTGGCATTGACCCGATTCACATGTGGGAAAAGAAGATGGCCAACGATGTCGTCACACAAACAGGGATTGTCCACACATCGAAAATAACACAAGCTGAACTAATACAAGAACAACCGGTGTATGTGAAGCCAATAGAAACACAGGATGTACCGATAACATCGTACAAAGAAACCGTAGATGCCTACCAACAGGCCGACTTAATTAAGCATATGTTACGCAAACCATCGTCCGATGTAGTATGTCAAGTAGGAAGTGTTATGGAATCTTCAGGGATCCAGATAGATGAACCTCATAAAACTTCAATGTTACTAGCGGGAACTCAAAGTGCCAAAACACCAACATACACTAAGGAGATTCAGACAGATATGGGATTCCGAGTGGAACCGAAGTTTGTGTCGAAGGCTGTCAACGATGTTATATGTCAGGTTGGTCAGGTAAACCATGAAGTATCCACACAGTCAGTTGAACATGTCACCGCTAGACCAGCATACAAGGATACTGGCATTGACCCGATTCACATGTGGGAAAAGAAGATGGCCAACGATGTCGTCACACAAACAGGGATTGTCCACACATCGAAAATAACACAAGCTGAACTAATACAAGAACAACCGGTGTATGTGAAGCCAATAGAAACACAGGATGTACCGATAACATCGTACAAAGAAACCGTAGATGCCTACCAACAGGCCGACTTAATTAAGCATATGTTACGCAAACCATCGTCCGATGTAGTATGTCAAGTAGGAAGTGTTATGGAATCTTCAGGGATCCAGATAGATGAACCTCATAAAACTTCAATGTTACTAGCGGGAACTCAAAGTGCCAAAACACCAACATACACTAAGGAGATTCAGACAGATATGGGATTCCGAGTGGAACCGAAGTTTGTGTCGAAGGCTGTCAACGATGTTATATGTCAGGTTGGTCAGGTAAACCATGAAGTATCCACACAGTCAGTTGAACATGTCACCGCTAGACCAGCATACAAGGATACTGGCATTGACCCGATTCACGTGTGGGAAAAGAAGATGGCCAACGATGTCGTCACACAAACAGGGATTGTCCACACATCGAAAATAACACAAGCTGAACTAATACAAGAACAACCGGTGTATGTGAAGCCAATAGAAACACAGGATGTACCGATAACATCGTACAAAGAAACCGTAGATGCCTACCAACAGGCCGACTTAATTAAGCATATGTTACGCAAACCATCGTCCGATGTAGTATGTCAAGTAGGAAGTGTTATGGAATCTTCAGGGATCCAGATAGATGAACCTCATAAAACTTCAATGTTACTAGCGGGAACTCAAAGTGCCAAAACACCAACATACACTAAGGAGATTCAGACAGATATGGGATTCCGAGTGGAACCGAAGTTTGTGTCGAAGGCTGTCAACGATGTTATATGTCAGGTTGGTCAGGTAAACCATGAAGTATCCACACAGTCAGTTGAACATGTCACCGCTAGACCAGCATACAAGGATACTGGCATTGACCCGATTCACATGTGGGAAAAGAAGATGGCCAACGATGTCGTCACACAAACAGGGATTGTCCACACATCGAAAATAACACAAGCTGAACTAATACAAGAACAACCGGTGTATGTGAAGCCAATAGAAACACAGGATGTACCGATAACATCGTACAAAGAAACCGTAGATGCCTACCAACAGGCCGACTTAATTAAGCATATGTTACGCAAACCATCGTCCGATGTAGTATGTCAAGTAGGAAGTGTTATGGAATCTTCAGGGATCCAGATAGATGAACCTCATAAAACTTCAATGTTACTAGCGGGAACTCAAAGTGCCAAAACACCAACATACACTAAGGAGATTCAGACAGATATGGGATTCCGAGTGGAACCGAAGTTTGTGTCGAAGGCTGTCAACGATGTTATATGTCAGGTTGGTCAGGTAAACCATGAAGTATCCACACAGTCAGTTGAACATGTCACCGCTAGACCAGCATACAAGGATACTGGCATTGACCCGATTCACATGTGGGAAAAGAAGATGGCCAACGATGTCGTCACACAAACAGGGATTGTCCACACATCGAAAATAACACAAGCTGAACTAATACAAGAACAACCGGTGTATGTGAAGCCAATAGAAACACAGGATGTACCGATAACATCGTACAAAGAAACCGTAGATGCCTACCAACAGGCCGACTTAATTAAGCATATGTTACGCAAACCATCGTCCGATGTAGTATGTCAAGTAGGAAGTGTTATGGAATCTTCAGGGATCCAGATAGATGAACCTCATAAAACTTCAATGTTACTAGCGGGAACTCAAAGTGCCAAAACACCAACATACACTAAGGAGATTCAGACAGATATGGGATTCCGAGTGGAACCGAAGTTTGTGTCGAAGGCTGTCAACGATGTTATATGTCAGGTTGGTCAGGTAAACCATGAAGTATCCACACAGTCAGAGATTCCTTCAATTATTTCAGTGGGAGTAGATTCAAGACCAGAATGTGCTTTAAGGCACCAAGGTTCATACCAAGTGCCACCAAACATAGATCGTCAAAGCAGACAAGTACAGGCAGATATCAAACAGGCATTTAAACATATAAATATGCAAACAGAAGAGATAATTAGAGAAAATTTAATATCGACGAACTTGGTGAGGGCGAAACAGATAGAAACATTTGAGGTGACGACTCAATTCGGTATATTAACAAAAGATAAAGACGTCGAAACATTCGTAAAATCTAGTTCCAAAGAAACACAAACCATAGAAAGTTCACCAGAAGCTGAAGTAAAAATGAGGAGCCAACAAACGTTCACTCGAATAAGAAGTAAAAATTATGACGTACAAACACAGTCAGGGACGATAAATATTTCCCAAGCATTCCAGACATTATTAGATTACAGGCCAACAACAGAAAAACGATCAACTGGAATGCAGCACGAAATGGATTTCAGAGTGGTGCAAACGACGCAACTAGAACCACAAACACATGAAACACCGACACAAACTGAGCGAGTGACATTAAAAGATGAACAATCATTTACGTCATTCAAATTGAAAACATACGATGTTCAGACTCAGTTTGGAAGTATGCTTAAGTCACAGGCAGCACAAACGCCAGGTGAACAGAGACCCGTCGTCGAAATGAAAGACATGATTACACAACACGAGAAACGTCCAGAACCAATTGTACACAAAAAATTACAAGCAATGGTACAACCGACCACCACTAACACAGAGACTCAGACGATGGAAGAGAGACCACCACCTGTTATCTTGCCACCAAAGTTATTCGACGTCCAAACACAATCAGGATCAGTGACGATAGATTCAGAAACACAAACACCACAAGAACGTAGACCAGTAATCGAAATGAAAGAGTTGCTTACACAACACGAGAAACGTCCAGAACCAATTGTACACAAAAAATTACAAGCAATGGTACAACCGACCACCACTAACACAGAGACTCAGACGATGGAAGAGAGACCACCACCTGTTATCTTGCCACCAAAGTTATTCGACGTCCAAACACAATCAGGATCAGTGACGATAGATTCAGAAACACAAACACCACAAGAACGTAGACCAGTAATCGAAATGAAAGAGTTGCTTACACAACACGAGAAACGTCCAGAACCAATTGTACACAAAAAATTACAAGCAATGGTACAACCGACCACCACTAACACAGAGACTCAGACGATGGAAGAGAGACCACCACCTGTTATCTTGCCACCAAAGTTATTCGACGTCCAAACACAATCAGGATCAGTGACGATAGATTCAGAAACACAAACACCACTAGAACGTAGGCCAGTGGTCGCGACTAAAGATGCAAGTGTACATCAAGAAACAAAACCTGTTCAATCAATTCCCAAGAAGTTACAGGCTACAGTCGTCCCACCACTTGAAAACATGGCTACACAAACAGATTCATTAGCACAACCTGTTGTCGTGCCCATGGTGAAAACTACGCATCATGAACCACAAACACAAGAAACACCGACACAAACTGAGCGAGTGACATTAAAAGATGAACAATCATTTACGTCATTCAAATTGAAAACATACGATGTTCAGACTCAGTTTGGAAGTATGCTTAAGTCACAGGCAGCACAAACGCCAGGTGAACAGAGACCCGTCGTCGAAATGAAAGACATGATTACACAACACGAGAAACGCCCAGAACCAATTGTACACAAAAAATTACAAGCAATGGTACAACCGACCACCATTAACACAGAGACTCAGACGATGGAAGAGAGACCACCACCTGTTATCTTGCCACCAAAGTTATTCGACGTCCAAACACAATCAGGATCAGTGACGATAGATTCAGAAACACAAACACCACAAGAACGTAGACCAGTAATCGAAATGAAAGAGTTGCTTACACAACACGAGAAACGTCCAGAACCAATTGTACACAAAAAATTACAAGCAATGGTACAACCGACCACCATTAACACAGAGACTCAGACGATGGAAGAGAGACCACCACCTGTTATCTTGCCACCAAAGTTATTCGACGTCCAAACACAATCAGGATCAGTGACGATAGATTCAGAAACACAAACACCACTAGAACGTAGGCCAGTGGTCGCGACTAAAGATGCAAGTGTACATCAAGAAACAAAACCTGTTCAATCAATTCCCAAGAAGTTACAGGCTACAGTCGTCCCACCACTTGAAAACATGGCTACACAAACAGATTCATTAGCACAACCTGTTGTCGTGCCCATGGTGAAAACTACGCATCATGAACCACAAACACAAGAAACACCGACACAAACTGAGCGAGTGACATTAAAAGATGAACAATCATTTACGTCATTCAAATTGAAAACATACGATGTTCAGACTCAGTTTGGAAGTATGCTTAAGTCACAGGCAGCACAAACGCCAGGTGAACAGAGACCCGTCGTCGAAATGAAAGACATGATTACACAACACGAGAAACGTCCAGAACCAATTGTACACAAAAAATTACAAGCAATGGTACAACCGACCACCATTAACACAGAGACTCAGACGATGGAAGAGAGACCACCACCTGTTATCTTGCCACCAAAGTTATTCGACGTCCAAACACAATCAGGATCAGTGACGATAGATTCAGAAACACAAACACCACTAGAACGTAGGCCAGTGGTCGCGACTAAAGATGCAAGTGTACATCAAGAAACAAAACCTGTTCAATCAATTCCCAAGAAGTTACAGGCTACAGTCGTCCCACCACTTGAAAACATGGCTACACAAACAGATTCATTAGCACAACCTGTTGTCGTGCCCATGGTGAAAACTACGCATCATGAACCACAAACACAAGAAACACCGACACAAACTGAGCGAGTGACATTAAAAGATGAACAATCATTTACGTCATTCAAATTGAAAACATACGATGTTCAGACTCAGTTTGGAAGTATGCTTAAGTCACAGGCAGCACAAACGCCAGGTGAACAGAGACCCGTCGTCGAAATGAAAGACATGATTACACAACACGAGAAACGCCCAGAACCAATTGTACACAAAAAATTACAAGCAATGGTACAACCGACCACCACTAACACAGAGACTCAGACGATGGAAGAGAGACCACCACCTGTTATCTTGCCACCAAAGTTATTCGACGTCCAAACACAATCAGGATCAGTGACGATAGATTCAGAAACACAAACACCACAAGAACGTAGACCAGTAATCGAAATGAAAGAGTTGCTTACACAACACGAGAAACGTCCAGAACCAATTGTACACAAAAAATTACAAGCAATGGTACAACCGACCACCATTAACACAGAGACTCAGACGATGGAAGAGAGACCACCACCTGTTATCTTGCCACCAAAGTTATCCGACGTCCAAACACAATCAGGATCAGTGACGATAGATTCAGAAACACAAACACCACACGAACAGAAACTAATACCAGATATAAAGGATGTGAGTGTATTTCATGAGTCACATCATGTACAAACAGTAAACAAGAAACTTCAAGCTGTGGTATACCATCCATCTGACGATGCGGGTGTGCAAACCGAAGAGGTAAGCGTACAACCCGTCAAACCCGTTGCTCAGGTGTTTTCACGAGCTCCGCAAGTTGCACATAAGCAAACACAAGCAGAATGGCTGAAGGTCAATATAAAAACATTTGATATACAAGCACAATCAGGGATGGTAGTCAAGACACAGTCAACACAAACTATTCTAGAAGAACAACCAGTATTCAATACTACAGACGTCAGTGTGATTCATAGTGAAAAATCACCTTCACTGGTGAACAAGAAACTTCAAGTAAACATGCGTCAATCAGTTGACAACACAAGCACACAGACTGATCCGATGACTCAAGTCCCTACTGTATTACCGAAAACCACGTTCGATGTTGTGACTCAGTCTGGTACTATCCACTGTGCACAGTCAGTTCAGACCATTCCAGAGGAACGACCAGTATTCCATACTGCAGACGTCAGTGTGATTCATAGTGAAAAATCACCTTCATTAGTAGGCAAGAAGGTTCAGGCAACAATGCGTCGATCATTTGACAACACAAGCACACAGACTGATCCGATGACTCAAGTCCCTACTGCATTACCGAAAACCACGTTCGATGTTGTGACTCAGTCTGGTACTATCCACTGTGCACAGTCAGTTCAGACCATTCCAGAGGAACGCCCGGTATACCACACTGTCGGTGTGGGAGTTGATCATACTGGGAAATTGCAGCCCGTGTTATACGAGAACGTTCAGGCAACAATGCGTCAATCAGTTGACAACACAAGCACACAGACTGATCCGATGACTCAAGTCCCTACTGCATTACCGAAAACCACGTTCGATGTTGTGACTCAGTCTGGTACTATCCACTGTGCACAGTCAGTTCAGACCATTCCAGAGGAACGACCAGTATTCCATACTGCAGACGTCAGTGTGATTCATAGTGAAAAATCACCTTCATTAGTAGGCAAGAAGGTTCAGGCAACAATGCGTCAATCAGTTGACAACACAAGCACACAGACTGATCCGATGACTCAAATCCCTACTGCATTACCGAAAACCACGTTCGATGTTGTGACTCAGTCTGGTACTGTCCACATTGCACAGTCAGTTCAGACCATTCCAGAGGAACGACCAGTATTCCATACTGCAGACGTCAGTGTGATTCATAGTGAAAAATCACCTTCATTAGTAGGCAAGAAGGTTCAGGCAACAATGCGTCAATCAGTTGACAACACAAGCACACAGACTGATCCGATGACTCAAGTCCCTACTGTATTACCGAAAACCACGTTCGATGTTGTGACTCAGTCTGGTACTATCCACTGTGCACAGTCAGTTCAGACCATTCCAGAGGAACGACCAGTATTCCATACTGCAGACGTCAGTGTGATTCATAGTGAAAAATCACCTTCATTAGTAGGCAAGAAGGTTCAGGCAACAATGCGTCAATCAGTTGACAACACAAGCACACAGACTGATCCGATGACTCAAGTCCCTACTGTATTACCGAAAACCACGTTCGATGTTGTGACTCAGTCTGGTACTATCCACTGTGCACAGTCAGTTCAGACCATTCCAGAGGAACGCCCGGTATACCACACTGTCGGTGTAGGAGTTGATCATACTGGGAAATTGCAGCCCGTGTTATACGAGAACGTTCAGGCAACAATGCGTCAATCAGTTGACAACACAAGCACACAGACTGATCCGATGACTCAAATCCCTACTGTATTACCGAAAACCACGTTCGATGTTGTGACTCAGTCTGGTACTATCCACTGTGCACAGTCAGTTCAGACCATTCCAGAGGAACGACCAGTATTCCATACTGCAGACGTCAGTGTGATTCATAGTGAAAAATCACCTTCATTAGTAGGCAAGAAGGTTCAGGCAACAATGCGTCAATCAGTTGACAACACAAGCACACAGACTGATCCGATGACTCAAGTCCCTACTGTATTACCGAAAACCACGTTCGATGTTGTGACTCAGTCTGGTACTATCCACTGTGCACAGTCAGTTCAGACCATTCCAGAGGAACGACCAGTATTCCATACTGCAGACGTCAGTGTGATTCATAGTGAAAAATCACCTTCATTAGTAGGCAAGAAGGTTCAGGCAACAATGCGTCAATCAGTTGACAACACAAGCACACAGACTGATCCGATGACTCAAGTCCCTACTGTATTACCGAAAACCACGTTCGATGTTGTGACTCAGTCTGGTACTATCCACTGTGCACAGTCAGTTCAGACCATTCCAGAGGAACGCCCGGTATACCACACTGTCGGTGTAGGAGTTGATCATACTGGGAAATTGCAGCCCGTGTTATACGAGAACGTTCAGGCAACAATGCGTCAATCAGTTGACAACACAAGCACACAGACTGATCCGATGACTCAAATCCCTACTGTATTACCGAAAACCACGTTCGATGTTGTGACTCAGTCTGGTACTGTCCACTGTGCACAGTCAGTTCAGACCATTCCAGAGGAACGACCAGTATTCCATACTGCAGACGTCAGTGTGATTCATAGTGAAAAATCACCTTCACTGGTGAACAAGAAACTTCAGGCAACAATGCGTCAATCAGTTGACAACACAAGCACACAGACTGATCCGATGACTCAAATCCCTACTGTATTACCGAAAACCACGTTCGATGTTGTGACTCAGTCTGGTACTATCCACTGTGCACAGTCAGTTCAGACCATTCCAGAGGAACGACCAGTATTCCATACTGCAGACGTCAGTGTGATTCATAGTGAAAAATCACCTTCATTAGTAGGCAAGAAGGTTCAGGCAACAATGCGTCAATCAGTTGACAACACAAGCACACAGACTGATCCGATGACTCAAGTCCCTACTGCATTACCGAAAACCACGTTCGATGTTGTGACTCAGTCTGGTACTATCCACTGTGCACAGTCAGTTCAGACCATTCCAGAGGAACGCCAGGTATACCACACTGTCGGTGTGGGAGTTGATCATACTGGGAAATTGCAGCCCGTGTTATACGAGAACGTTCAGGCAACAATGCGTCAATCAGTTGACAACACAAGCACACAGACTGATCCGATGACTCAAATCCCTACTGTATTACCGAAAACCACGTTCGATGTTGTGACTCAGTCTGGTACTGTGTCTCTTACTGTTGGTTGTCAAGCTGTTCTTATATCGGAAGATTTTTTGATGAAAGATGTTGCTGCTGATTATATCAGATCGGTCAATTCTTGTTTCTCTAAAGCTGTCCAAGCTAGCATACAAGTTGAACGTAAAAATATTGAAATACAGTGTCTGATAAAAGATAAACGTGTAATTAGTATTCGGAATGCAGAAGCTCAATTCGACGTACTTTGTCGTCAGGAAGGAACTCAAACATTTAGTTTACCTTTAACAACTACGAAAGAAGGAAGTGTTCAGCACGCACCAACGACTACACAAATAATAAATAAAAAGCTACAAGTAACTATTTCCCAGTCAGTTCGAGAGGCAGCCGCGCAAACATACGAATCAATACCAGTCGTAACAGTACCCACGATGCAAAGAATTCATCACTCTGTACAGACACATGAAATATCATCACAAACTGACAGTCTAGAATTTTTTGATCGTCAGTCCTACGCGCAAATCAAATCTCAAACAAATGATGTAGAAATACAATCAGGAATCATTTGCAAATCACAGGGATTGCAGACAAAATTAGAGCATAAAACATTCGGAATGACGAAAGAAACTAGTACACAGTATGAGGCAGTACAAAGAACAATGATAAATATAGATATTCAGGCAGATGCTCAACATCCAGTGTCCAAAACTTACGTCCAAACAGATGACAGTCAACTGATAAATATCAGGCAGAAACACCAGACGAATGTACAGACACAATCAGGAATCATTCAAAAAGACCAAGGAGCACAAACACTAGAAGAGGTCCACACCACAGTGAACAAGACCGACGTCAGTGTAAATCATGAATTCAAAAATCGACAAATTAACAAGAAGTTGCAAGCAACAATAATGTCTCAAATGAAAGACGTAGTCATACAAACAGAATTAGTAGGAACCTCTGTACATCCAACACCTACAAAAACTACATTTGATGTGCAAACACAATCAGGATCAGTGACGATAGATTCAGAAACACAAACACCACACGAACAGAAACTAATACCAGATATAAAGGATGTGAGTGTATTTCATGAGTCACATCATGTACAAACAGTAAACAAGAAACTTCAAGCTGTGGTATACCATCCATCTGACGATGCGGGTGTGCAAACCGAAGAGGTAAGCGTACAACCCGTCAAACCCGTTGCTCAGGTGTTTTCACGAGCTCCGCAAGTTGCACATAAGCAAACACAAGCAGAATGGCTGAAGGTCAATATAAAAACATTTGATATACAAGCACAATCAGGGATGGTAGTCAAGACACAGTCAACACAAACTATTCTAGAAGAACAACCAGTATTCAATACTACAGACGTCAGTGTGATTCATAGTGAAAAATCACCTTCACTGGTGAACAAGAAACTTCAAGTAAACATGCGTCAATCAGTTGACAACACAAGCACACAGACTGATCCGATGACTCAAGTCCCTACTGTATTACCGAAAACCACGTTCGATGTTGTGACTCAGTCTGGTACTATCCACTGTGCACAGTCAGTTCAGACCATTCCAGAGGAACGCCCGGTATACCACACTGTCGGTGTAGGAGTTGATCATACTGGGAAATTGCAGCCCGTGTTATACGAGAACGTTCAGGCAACAATGCGTCAATCAGTTGACAACACAAGCACACAGACTGATCCGATGACTCAAATCCCTACTGTATTACCGAAAACCACGTTCGATGTTGTGACTCAGTCTGGTACTGTCCACTGTGCACAGTCAGTTCAGACCATTCCAGAGGAACGACCAGTATTCCATACTGCAGACGTCAGTGTGATTCATAGTGAAAAATCACCTTCATTAGTAGGCAAGAAGGTTCAGGCAACAATGCGTCAATCAGTTGACAACACAAGCACACAGACTGATCCGATGACTCAAGTCCCTACTGTATTACCGAAAACCACGTTCGATGTTGTGACTCAGTCTGGTACTATCCACTGTGCACAGTCAGTTCAGACCATTCCAGAGGAACGACCAGTATTCCATACTGCAGACGTCAGTGTGATTCATAGTGAAAAATCACCTTCATTAGTAGGCAAGAAGGTTCAGGCAACAATGCGTCAATCAGTTGACAACACAAGCACACAGACTGATCCGATGACTCAAATCCCTACTGTATTACCGAAAACCACGTTCGATGTTGTGACTCAGTCTGGTACTATCCACTGTGCACAGTCAGTTCAGACCATTCCAGAGGAACGACCAGTATTCCATACTGCAGACGTCAGTGTGATTCATAGTGAAAAATCACCTTCATTAGTAGGCAAGAAGGTTCAGGCAACAATGCGTCAATCAGTTGACAACACAAGCACACAGACTGATCCGATGACTCAAGTCCCTACTGTATTACCGAAAACCACGTTCGATGTTGTGACTCAGTCTGGTACTATCCACTGTGCACAGTCAGTTCAGACCATTCCAGAGGAACGACCAGTATTCCATACTGCAGACGTCAGTGTGATTCATAGTGAAAAATCACCTTCATTAGTAGGCAAGAAGGTTCAGGCAACAATGCGTCAATCAGTTGACAACACAAGCACACAGACTGATCCGATGACTCAAGTCCTTACTGTATTACCGAAAACCACGTTCGATGTTGTGACTCAGTCTGGTACTATCCACTGTGCACAGTCAGTTCAGACCATTACAGAGGAACGCCCGGTATACCACACTGTCGGTGTAGGAGTTGATCATACTGGGAAATTGCAGCCCGTGTTATACGAGAACGTTCAGGCAACAATGCGTCAATCAGTTGAAAACACAAGCACACAGACTGATCCGATGACTCAAATCCCTACTGTATTACCGAAAACCACGTTCGATGTTGTGACTCAGTCTGGTACTGTCCACTGTGCACAGTCAGTTCAGACCATTCCAGAGGAACGACCAGTATTCCATACTGCAGACGTCAGTGTGATTCATAGTGAAAAATCACCTTCATTAGTAGGCAAGAAGGTTCAGGCAACAATGCGTCAATCAGTTGACAACACAAGCACACAGACTGATCCGATGACTCAAGTCCCTACTGTATTACCGAAAACCACGTTCGATGTTGTGACTCAGTCTGGTACTATCCACTGTGCACAGTCAGTTCAGACCATTCCAGAGGAACGACCAGTATTCCATACTGCAGACGTCAGTGTGATTCATAGTGAAAAATCACCTTCATTAGTAGGCAAGAAGGTTCAGGCAACAATGCGTCAATCAGTTGACAACACAAGCACACAGACTGATCCGATGACTCAAGTCCCTACTGTATTACCGAAAACCACGTTCGATGTTGTGACTCAGTCTGGTACTATCCACTGTGCACAGTCAGTTCAGACCATTTTAGAGGAACGACCACGATTCGATAATGTTGATGTGAGCGTTGATCATTTTGAGACTGTGCCTATTGTTCGATCAACTATCTCATCGACCATGCATACACTTCCAAACACTTCACAATCAACACAAACCACACCTACTATAGTAGTTGATACATTCTGTCAAGCGACGTTATCTTCTACTACATACGATGTCCAAATTCAATCTGGAGTAATGCATTCAATAGATGGGACACAGACTGTCGATTTAAGGTCACCAATTGAGATGAAAGAAATGAGTGTCGCACACGAGAAGGAACGAACTGTTCTGAAAGGGAAGAAACTTCAGGTTCATTGTGATTCAACTGATTTGGGAGTCCAAACAGATCAAATTACTCCCGTTGTTCGATCAACAATCTCATCGACCATGCATACTCTTCCAAACACTTCACAATCAACACAAACCACACCTACTAAACTAGCTGATACATTCTGTCAAGCGACGTTATCTTCTACTACATACGATGTCCAAATTCAATCTGGAGTAATGCATTCAATAGATGGGACACAGACTGTCGATTTAAGGTCACCAATTGAGATGAAAGAAATGAGTGTCGCACACGAGAAGGAACGAACTGTTCTGAAAGGGAAGAAACTTCAGGTTCATTGTGATTCAACTGATTTGGGAGTCCAAACAGATCAAATTACTCCCGTTGTTCGATCAACAATCTCATCGACCATGCATACTCTTCCAAACACTTCACAATCAACACAAACCACACCTACTAAACTAGCTGATACATTCTGTCAAGCGACGTTATCTTCTACTACATACGATGTCCAAATTCAATCTGGAGTAATGCATTCAATAGATGGGACACAGACTGTCGATTTAAGGTCACCAATTGAGATGAAAGAAATGAGTGTCGCACACGAGAAGGAACGAACTGTTCTGAAAGGGAAGAAACTTCAGGTTCATTGTGATTCAACTGATTTGGGAGTCCAAACAGATCAAATTACTCCCGTTGTTCGATCAACAATCTCATCGACCATGCATACTCTTCCAAACACTTCACAATCAACACAAACCACACCTACTAAACTAGCTGATACATTCTGTCAAGCGACGTTATCTTCTACTACATACGATGTCCAAATTCAATCTGGAGTAATGCATTCAATAGATGGGACACAGACTGTCGATTTAAGGTCACCAATTGAGATGAAAGAAATGAGTGTCGCACACGAGAAGGAACGAACTGTTCTGAAAGGGAAGAAACTTCAGGTTCATTGTGATTCAACTGATTTGGGAGTCCAAACAGATCAAATTACTCCCGTTGTTCGATCAACAATCTCATCGACCATGCATACTCTTCCAAACACTTCACAATCAACACAAACCACACCTACTAAACTAGCTGATACATTCTGTCAAGCGACGTTATCTTCTACTACATACGATGTCCAAATTCAATCTGGAGTAATGCATTCAATAGATGGGACACAGACTGTCGATTTAAGGTCACCAATTGAGATGAAAGAAATGAGTGTCGCACACGAGAAGGAACGAACTGTTCTGAAAGGGAAGAAACTTCAGGTTCATTGTGATTCAACTGATTTGGGAGTCCAAACAGATCACATTATGTCTACTGTTCACTTGGACAGTAAATTAACTCAAACTGGTTTAGTTCGTTATACGGATGTATCATGTCAGTATACTGAACTCACAAAGCCTTCATCAACTAGTCATGCAGTAACGTCCAGAGTTGTTAGCATTCAAACAGATGTGCCTTTTTCAACAAACGTACGTGTGGATCAACGAAACAAGAAATTCCAAGTGAATCTAATATCACCTTCATCACCAAAGACTCCAATAAATGTAGCCTCTATAGGAACACAAACTTCAGATTATAGATACCAGGATATAAGTATTGAACAGGTTGATAAAACAATAGTTTCATCAGTGGATGCACATGTGGTTCATGATTCAGCGTCTAATGTGACAAACACTTCACAAGCAATACCAAAAATAAAAATAGATCAAGAGTGCCAAGTAAAAATAACTCCTCAACAATATCAAAAGAAACTTCAGTATGGTTCCTCATTTTCTACATTAAAAAATACGTCTTCTCAAACTATACAGGACAGTTGTCTTTATGACCATCATAAAACTTCTCCGTCATCAAGTATTGGAGTTCAGGCAGGCAATATACGACCAGTAGTTACAGTAGATACAGGGACTCAAGAAACAAGACCAAGTGAGACTTCTCCATCACCTTTACAAGTTAAGAACAAAAAACTACAAGTCTACCCATCTAAACTTGGTGAACAAGTAGAAGAAGAATTTACACATCCTCAAGAGACAATCTCCAAAGGAATGTCAACCTCATTAACTGAGATAACACAAACAGATGAGTGTTTACTAAAAAATATTGAATGTTTCAAGTGTATATCACGGGGATATGATAAGAAAACAATTGATAAAGATATGCAATCGGAAGAAAAATCAATAAGAACAAAACAAACAGCATCCAGTACAGTGAAATCAAATTACTATACACGTATTCTCCAAATGGAAACTATTCCTGACAAGCCAAAAGCATCAGACACATCCGATGTGCTGAAACTATACAGAGAGTCCGGCTATAGAGCTAGGGGTGAATCAAAGAATATCCAAACTGATACGTTTTTGTTGGGAAGTATTCAATTACCTGAAAGTAGGGAAGTTGATAGCATAGGAAAAATTTCGAAAAAGACCACAATTGTTCAGTTAGAAAAGTTAACCACGGATAAGTGTGTAGATACTATGCCCTTTGTAAAAGGACTTATAGAATCTCAAATATCCTATCATGATACCCAGATATCTGAAAGGAGAAATATAAAGTTACTAAAAGAAACACCATGGTCAGAAGCACAAGATATTCAGTATGAAATAAGACATCCTCAAATAATAGATTCAAGTGGAAGTTACTCACCTCAACAAAATTCAGTTGCAGTTAGTGCACGACCAACTACTCATATGCTTGCTCATACAGAATCAACAAGCAGAAATGGAAATGGAAAGGCTAAGACACCGTATCAATATTTAAAACCAGATGTTGTAAGTTGGGGAGTACAATTTGCACCAGTGACACTTACTGGGGTAACGCAAACCACTGAATCTTCGAAACATAAGTTAACTATTGATTCACCAGTAAATATAGGTGTACAAACTGATGCGATTGAAGATGACTATTATATAAAAAGAGTTGTGACGACAATAGCTAGGAAAGGTTTGTCATCTTATTGTCGTCGAGGTCCAGTAGCCAAAAGAATTGTCGAACACACTGATCTATTGACATCGAGTTTACCTAGTAACCTAGATGAAGAGTTTGATGAAGAAACAACAACTGCACCAAGAACAACGAAGGTCACAACTATGCAAAAACGTGGAGATCGTCGAGTAGTACATGAAGAGTTACTTACAGAGGACTATAGGGAAAGAGGAAGTTCACTTGACTCTCATGTAGCCCACGAACGGTTTCTGAGAGAAACACACCCACAGGATATCGATTTGCATGGAATGCATGAACATGAGACAGGCATATATACTGATGCTGAAATCTGTTTGCAGAATTTACTGAAAGTTTGGGGAGAGCAATACTTGCTTTCTAGATTAAGAACGATCGGTAGATACTCAGGGCTTTCAGTTAGTCTTGATCGAAGTATACATACAGCAGAAAAATCACGGCTAGTTGAAGCGAAGACACAGTTTACTTCAACGGGAAACTTAGTGAGTCAAATCAGAAATCTTGAGAACATGGGAACACAGACTAGTGATATTCTCCTTACCACTCGACCTCCACATAAAAATAAACGGATACAACGTGGTCGTAGCTTCATTTCTGGAGGAACGAATCAGCCACCACCGACGCGTAGTGGCTCGGTAGTAAGTCCACTGTCGCCGACTACCGAAGAACTGACAAGTCACCATCGTCAGCACGGGATAACAAGCATGCAGACACGTACTTCTCATCCATTTAATTTGGCCACTACCACATTTACAGAGACTACACAAGAGCAATCGACATTCAGTATTGAACATACAGTCCAGACTTATATATGTCCAACATGTGGGAGTCAAGCTAGTATCCCAGTGACCGTTCATTCACAAATACAACCTCAAACACTTCCAATAACGCAATTAAAAGACGCCCAATCACAAACTCGGTTTGTGGGGCAGATGACAGCTGATAATAACTGCACATATCTACCAACTTACCTAAGTGATGAGGAAGTAATTCGCATAAATCAGAGCCAGAAAATTGAAGACAGAGAATTTTCGGTGGTGACATGGCATCCAGCAGAAATACGAGATACAGAACGCCGTAGGGATAGCGACACAAGTAATCAGATACGAGATGAAGTTTGGGTTGATAGTCCTGGGAAACTGCTGGAACTCAAAATAACTGGAGTAATAGTACCTGGAACAAGCAAAATCGTTAGCGCAAGTGAAGCGTTTTATCGTGGTCTACTAAGAGTAGTATACTGGGATTATGAAAAACTTGGACCTAGGCAATCATCAGTAGATTCAACAGTTTCCATACCACTGGCAGATGCAGTGATTTCTAAGGCAGTTCGGTTAGCTAGTGATAGAATATCAACAGAAGCGCAGCCATCATTGGATGCCAAAATAGTTTGGAGAACACCAGAGATACAACGAAGTAGGTATCTAGTACATTCAATTAGACCTGATGCAGGTCAAAACAAACATAATCCAATTAATCTGGACATTGCATCTGCAATACGAGCTGGTCTAATTGACAAAGAAACCGGTCGAATGTTGTTTACACATTCTGTTTACGAGTCACCATTCAGTACTGATTCACCGATAAGTAAAAAAGGCGATAGTAGCTCTGACCAAACTGAACGATTGTCTGTCAGAGAAGCAATTTTACGCGGATTTTTAGTTGCAGAATTAATAGAACCAGAATCATCGTATATAACAAAGCAAAGCTTACCATTTATTGTCCCAAGCACAAGTTATTCACACTCTCCAACTGATGTTGACATTTGACCTGTTGCTTAATTATTATTATTATTATCATTGAAAATAAGCGAATACACATGAAATCTGTTTTGTAACCTAGAAAAACTGACCCTCGTCTGTGCATAAGTATGGTTCTCTTCCACAGAAAAAGTCGCATTATTCAATCAGCAATACGTTGTATGCGTGTGTAGCCAATTATTTCAAGTATCAACTTACTCCTTTTTTGTTTTTCGTCGTGTTTTTCCTCTTAAACAACAAAACAAAACGAAAACTATCACTTACCTAATCAAATATCCAATATAAACAACCATAAAAATAATAATTTCTATTTTATTCTTTTTCTGTTGACATTCTATTAATAATAATAATAATAATAATAATAATAATAATAATAATAATAATAATAATCAGTTTATAGAAAGTTACATTAGTCTTTAGCGTAAATTTAACCTTAAAGGCATTTCGTATAAGCATCCTACGAGTAAAGTATTATGTTTAAATTGGTTCTAAACTCTTTGCTATTCAGAGACCAAACATAATAATTCATATAATATTAGGATATGAACTTCAAACATATGTAGAGTATAGTGATTACGTGGTTTACATCATGGATTGATTGTAGCTAGACAACAGAAAACCAAGAAGTACTGAGCAGACGTTTCGTCCAAGTATAGGAGTCCTTAGTAATGCGTACCTACTACCCTATTAGTGGTTGTACTTAGGAACCTCAAGCCTCACAGAAAGTGGTAAACTTCGGTCCACTGATTAGGTATCTAACGGTTTACATTCCTAACTTCAGTCAATTTTCCATATTAAGCGATTATCATTCAAAACCATTGGTGAGTGATTGCCTCCTTCCCGATGCAGATGAAATCCACTGGTAACAGTTTTGCAATAGGTAGCATTAGTCCTAATTTCGACCTCTGGTGAATTCGTCGCTGGGCACTGTTGAAGAGTTCCATACTAGGACGAAGAGGCTGTCTCGTACTTCTTAGTTTCCACTGGTTGTGTAGTTAGATACAGTGAGTCCGTGGTGCAAACTACAAAATTCAACAGCCTTCACAAAAGCATCTGTACTAGTTCCAAAACTATTGACTCAATTATCTGTTAATGAGCAAAAAATATATAGATAGATAGACAAAAGCAGTTGTTGAACAGAACTGACTAACGGTGAGATGCACAATTCAAGATATTATATATACAACAACCTTAAATTGTGAAAAAAAAAAGAAAATTTTCCCGGTATTTATTCTTTTTCGAAACCAAGGTTACTAGTTTGGAAAGTATGCAGGGATTGATACTAATAACAAAGCTAAGAAGTTGAAAATCAATGAAAAGCAATAAAAGATATAATGACCTATTCGAGTACGAAACAGATGTCTAAACTACTGAGTCATAACAATATACTGGAAAGTGACGTATTCTCATATCGATCAAACAACAGAGTCGAAATAATCAGACAATATTTGAAAGTTAATTCATACTGCAACTTGTTCAATTGTTCAAATACACGAATCTAGGTGACAATTGGACCTATGGTGCGTGAACTGGTCAACAGAAATATAGTTATTCCAATAAAATGAACAATTATGACTTTAATTTATTTCAAAGTTTATGCAGAAACAAAGCTATGTATTTGTTCCATAAGTTATGAATCAGAAATATTTTTTCGGGAGATTAATATCAACACTAATTCGGTTTTCAAGACTATCTTAGGATGTAAGGGCAATCAAACATTAATGAACCCAAAACATGTATATCATATATAGCATTAAAAGATCAAAGTATTTAGAATATTTAAATAATGGAAATATCAACATCTTTTAGGCTATATGTTATTTTATTAGATATAATTAGGTATATATGAAGATCTTTGATAACAGTTCATAAAAAACACGTACGTCGAGTAGGATTAGAAAGATTTACTTGTGGTTGCTTATCACCTGTGCATAGCTTTTAACAGAAGTTGATAGAGATCCGAATATGAACATCAACTAAATGTTAAACGTTACCATATATCTATGCTTATGTTAAAACACGTAGACAAATATGGGCAAAGACTTGACAAGGAGAACGTTGAAATAGTGAACAGAAACACAAAGACCGCTCAGTTTTTATGTTTTGCTAATTAGATTAGTTAACAAAATCACTAAGCACATTGAAATAGGCTCACTTCATTAACCAGTTAGAACAAGTATTAACAACTATAAGGCCATGTAAGAATAGGTCCAGGGGACAAAGCAACCCAAATACATGTGCAAAAAATGACAGAAGGAACGTTAACAACAACTAATCAGATTCAATGTTGATAGAAAGGCGATGGCAGAATTTAATTATATCGCTTCAAGGATCTTGTTCCAATATAAAATATAGTTTATATGGAAAGTAAATAGAGGAAAATTACCCTTAGGCAATGAGGTCTAACAATATTTCGATTCCGGTGACATCAAATCTCTGGGCGGGATAGTTTAGTCATGAAGCACTCATTACATTTCTAGACATCACAAGTCCCAAACAGAAGTGAGTCTTTGGAATATCTCATCACTTGATGCAGAATAAAATGAACATTTCTTTCGTGCTTACAACTGTTTTCGTATCGAAGTATAACATAATATTAAACTACAGATATTCGTGGATGAAGAAAGCTGAAATAACAATAATTATCAGTACCATATATGCAGGCGTAAGATAAATATAGAAAACATAACGGGAGTGGGACAGTAATTATTTGGAACTCCAAGACTGACAAATTAGTTTGTGTAATGAATTATGAGCAATTTGAAGAGTTTACAGAAGTTTTAATAATTTGGTGAATGAAAATCACAAATGAATAGAAATATTATTCCTAATTCTATGAAATAACAATCAGTCAAGTGAGAATTACATAAAAAAGTACAGACAATGATACAGCCAGATCTCACTATTTAAGGATAATTCTTTTATTTTTTATTAAATTTACATACAAACTATGTTTTCTAGTATGATCTAGATTCTTATGGTTGATCTATAAACCTCTACCGTCTCCTTTCATCTACTGGTAGCGATAATTTATTTGAACACATAAATATTGGTACGAAGGGGCACTAAATACATATATGCCACACAAGTCACTCGATTTGTGTGAAAAAAACTTAAAAGTAAATAATTGATCACCGTTTGTGCAATGAACTCCAATCGATGAAGACGAATCCACATCCTTCATTAAACCAGATGAAATAATCGAAAACGACCATCAGTTATTAACTAGTACCTTCCACAAATATGACTAATGAAACACCAGTGTGTGCAATGAACTCCGAACAATACGAATTGTGTGAACGCTTAAAATACTGTTATCCTGCCACAATAGAGGTAGATGAAGGTTTAGTAGTGCAACCCATAGTTTTGGAGTTGAAAGACTAAACCATCAATTCTTAACATCTTATTACATAAGTCATTGAACAGTCTTATCAGCACATTTATGACATAGATTAGGGAGATTTCCCTTATAAGTGGGTTTTTTTCTGTTGACATCTCAGGTGAAGTTGTGTTTTAGTATGCTGAAAGCTAGAAGTACTTGCTTATCGATGAGATTTTGGTGATATGAACACCTATATTCTCAACCTGTTCTATTAGTTTTAATATTAATTGATTTACAAAACGTATCATTAAATCAAATGCCTGCCTTCTTTCAGACTTTAATAACAAACTAAAATGTCACTAATTTCATTATTCTTAGTTATTTAAAACTGGCTGAACGTATTTCAGGTAGAAAAAAGTCGGTTAATGCAATTGTATACCTCCACCAGTTTAGATGTTTGAAACTTGCTATGTGTAGCCTAGCTATTGATAGTAGTAATGCGTCATGCTGATCAACTCAAGTATGTATGGAAAAAGTTAGATTTATGTATGGAGTCAATGATCATTGGTCTAAGCTGCGTCGGAGGATTTTAATTTATTATGTATTGTCTACGTAATAATTTTAATCCATAACTGACAGTAATTAAGACTGGTCACTCTGTCACATGCACTCGTTATTTCTACATTAAAACCATGAGTATTTCTATTATTTTAAGGATTTTACGTCATTTTCCTAGTTTTAACTAACATTGTTAAAATTATCTTTATTCCCTTAACTAATTTAAGCTTTATGGAAATAGATGTCAAGCGAGTAACTTGAGCCGATAAGTGTGTAGGGGATAACCCACATTCTTTGTGTTTAAATGTATTCTTCCAAATAATTATTGGATTGTTCTGACTCTTTGATGCATTGGTATATTAATTTCAAGTTTTCTTACACTAATGTACAAGCACATAAAGTCAGCAACAAAAGTAACCTCAGATGAGTGGAGAGACAAGTTAGGATATATATATATATATATATATATATATATATATATATATATATATATATATATATATATATATATATATATATATATATACTGAGTGCGTGTAACAAAATAATTAACCTCAACATACGGGGGTTATGAACTTTAAATCAAGCTGCTTAAAGTTGGAGAAATCAACATTCCATGGCTTATATAACCCGAAAGGTGTCGAGTTCCATGTTAATGAGTATCTGACGGTGGAAAACGAACAATAACGTATCAAAACTAGTTGACAATAATACTAATACTACTAATAATAATAAACAACCGTTACTATGTCCTGAATTACCGATATTCTGAATCAATAAAGGGCGAGTCAGTAAACTGACCAGAAAACTAAACCGCTATCAGCTGTAAAATCAATGATAACTAATCTATAAGGAGTACTAGAACTAGTGGAAGTATTGGCGTTTACTTAATAAATACTAGACCATTGTTACATATTTGTACTTTTATTCCATGACTTTACTATAAAATGAATTTGAATGGTGTTGATTGCATATTAGTAACTCAAAATAAACAGAATAAGGATATTGTACTGTGTTAAAACATTTCGACAACAAAAAGGAAAGTCTTTACGGTGAATTTATTCGAACAACCGATAAAGCAAACAACGTAGGAATCACAATTCATTTGAGGAAATTTAAAATACATTTAAGAAAGATCCATTGTCTCAACACTATGAGCAGGTATATCTCGAACAACACGTGTTGTGACCACATCGAACTCAACATGATGAACACTTTTGTGGAGAACAGAAGTGGTACCTTCCGGAGGATTATACTTTTCTGCTCTGAAAAATTAATAAGTAAAGAAACTAGTTTTGAGTATAGCAAGATATAAAGGTTGATAAAATGTAGAAATGACAATTTGTTGACACCATAATGTAAAGTTATAATTTGGTCACATTATTTTATGCTAACTTTCATAATGTAAGAGCTGATAAATTTACTTTGTTTTG